TGTTGAAAACAGAAAATCCATGGAAAAAAAACCAGCAAAAATATTCCTGAAAAAACACCGTACACCAACGCTGTGTGCAAAAAAATCCCAGTGGGATGCAAGTCAAACAACAACAACCACAAGAAAACTTAGATTAAGGCCATCAGTCTAACTCCGTACTACAACAAAACAAACATGTCCAAACCAAAAAACGTTTTCCAAATCACCCAAAAACAAAGCCGTAATTGCAACGTAACGGTGATCACAAGGACTGTGACCGAATTTTTACAATAAACTACATAAATAACATGTAACACCAAAATCCTAGAGCCATAGCTGGCTGCATGAGTTACTCCACAACAACAGAAGCATCGGTCGGAGTATCAAATTTTTCAATGCACCTTGAGACGTGTGCCGCATGTTGCAATGTGGAGGCGTTGCTGTTGCACTGCAGGGTCACGGCGACGCTGTCGCGGATGGGTGACCACAGCCTCCGTTCCGGGTGCTTCTCGTTTGATGATCTCATGGCGCCGTGCCGTCGTGAAATTTCTCCGACGCGGAAATTCGATTGCGTTAATCGAAAAGTGCCCGTCATTTGTCACCTGCGTTAACGTGGCATTTCGTAAAACCGAAGGTTTCGTGAATCGAGGGACACTTGCATTTTCTTTGGTTCTTTCGGTAAAGTCACGTAGAATGAGAATAAAATAAAAAAATAAAACAATACTATTCTCACGACGTTTCGGCCACAACACAAGTGGCCTTCTTCAGGTGAAAGGAACAAGCCTGTCGGGACGACAGAGCTACTTGCATTCTTGAGTGAGTGAGCGCGCACGACACACCCCATGTGCGCGTACGTGTGTGTGTGTGTGTGGCAGAAATATCCGCCAAATCGGCCAGTAGACACATGGGTCTGGCCCGTCACCTCCAAGCAGCGAGCCTTCGAAACACTTTCACGTGGCCCCGTAGTGCACCTAGCCTGGCACAGGCGCTGTGGCGGTGTCACCGACACTCGGTGGCAAAATGGCGGCTGTCGTTGCACAAGCATGTACATACGTGTGTGTGTGTGTGCGCGCGTCTTTGTGGATAGTGAATAAAGAAAGAGCTTTTCATTTAACCGTGTAATCGGAGCTGCAAGGTGGCGAGGAGACTGGAAGTTGAGTTCTAGCATTGTCCTGTGCAGGGGTTTTCTCTTAATACTTCGGTTTCTCCCTCAATACTTCGGTTTCTCCCTCTCCACGTCATTAATAATTACAATCTTTGAATGGACTCGGCCGAACACGCCAATGCAGGACTCTCCCGACAAAAGAGTCTTCGTACTCATTGAGGCTCTTCTGAGTAAATACGTGGAATAATGAATCGGGACTAACAATAGCGCAGCACTCGCGGCGAGCATCACGCCTAACCGCCTTTCACATATTCATAAACATGCGCTGTGTGTGTTCTAAACGTCAACAATTGTTGTACGCGTGCCATCATGCGTGTGCTATGTCTCTTGACACCCTTGCAAAATGAGATGTTCCAAATAAGACGCCGTGGTAGCGAGATGTTAACTACCTCGCCTTGTATTCAGGAGGTCGTGGTTTCGATCCCGACCCTGACGCCTGCTGCTGTATATTTGGATGTTTGCGTGTTCTCCCCGTGGTCGCGTGGATGTTTTTACGGGTCCTCCGCTTCTTCCTTCCACATTTATAATCGTGCATTTAGAGTATTTGGCTGATATACATTTCCATACAAGCCACTTTGTTGAGCTATCATTTGTAGCCAGGTCGTTTCTGAAAAAGAGCTATATAGCTCAGTGCGCCTTACCTGCTATAATACAAATATAAGTTTCGTTTTATGGGTCTATCGATGGAAAATACTCTAACGAACGAAAATACTGTACCATTCCAGATACTCTGATACAGGAGGCCCACACAGTGCCAATTGGTATCGTAATGTCAGATACAAAATCGGCACTGCAGTAGTTTTTTCGATTTAAAGCGTTCGAGACTGCAGGCATTCATATTCTTGGTTCTTTCGGTAAAGTCACGTAGAAGGGACATAATAAAACAATAAAAATACAAATAAAACATAAGTAGTTATGTGGCTGCCATTGAGTTTAACTATACTTGCACTTGTGAGCGTGCCCGACCGATTTAGCCATCACTCCGACTTGGCAGTCCGTACAAAAACAAATATGACTTCTCTTGTAAATATGTGCAGAGAGTGTGTGTGTGTGTGCCTCCTGGATAGTCCGACAGCAGGTTGATGGAAGCTTTTGTTTATGAGAAAAAAAAATACTTCAACGTTATCTCCAAGTGAATCATTAACACCCCATTAAGATCGCGCCTTCAATACATTTCAATGCAATGCCAATTGCAGTGAGCACATTCGAGTTCTTGATTGTCTGTTTTTGGTCGCACTAACAACGCTTATGGGATCCCTGTCGTACTTTAACTTTTTTAAAGGCGGTGGCGGCGGGGGGGGGCATCACACAGTCGATGTTAAACAATCTCTAAAATACGTAAACGTGAAACGCCAATAAACAGAATGAGTAACGATACAATCGGCTTATGTCCGTCGTGAATTTCTCCTCTGGCTCTCTCACGCCCTGCGTTGCATGAGGAATGGCCGTGATACGCCCGTTGTTTGTATTAATTTATGAACGTACGACAGTTTTGTGACATTTTATTTGGAACGATTTATAGCAGAGCGTAAAGAAGGTTGGGGTGGGGGGCTGAAAAATCTCGGCCCTCCTCCGTTCCCCTCTGCGTCTAAGACACCAGCGTTGGGTACAAATCTGCAACAGTTTGTTTATTTGCTACATATGCATGGGCAAAGCAGGAGGATTTAAAACGCGTGACTTGAGGCGAAAGAGGTCAATAATCACCCTGAACGCGATTCCAGGAATTGACCGGCGACACTTTCTCCTCCCTCTGTGTCGGTCAACATTTAAACATTAGCGAATATTTCTTTACATATTATATACCAAGGGGCTTCTTGTCAAACTTTAAAATGTCAAACAGCTCGGTAAAGTGTCAACTTTGCTCTTGTACAACTTGGGCTGGGATAAATACTCTTTGGTTCTATTCGGTAAAGTCACGTGGGTAAAAAATAAAACAACAAAAATCACGACGTGACTTAACCGAATAGAACCAAAGAGTATGGATCCTTGCAATCGCGAAAGCTTCAAATCTAGAATTGGGCTGGGATAGTGCGGAATTCCATGAGCGGTGACTGCACACTCAGTAACCCGGCCAATAACACCAGATGCAAATATGACAAACCTTGGCCAAGCCACTGCTGGTTTAAGGCCACGACCTCACCGTGTGAGTGGTATGTGCCGTATGACCATACTTCACCACGCTGGTTATTGGGGGGGGGGGGGTTGATGTAGTGGGAGGGCCCAGAATTGGTTAAAGATGTCAATTGCAATTGATGTTAGCCATGGCTGGAAATCGAACCCAGGTGATCGGGTTAATTTACGTGGTGTACAAAACAAAAGACAAAGATGTCCCAGTATAGCCTTAACAGACTGTTGAGGCAAGTGCTGTTAGCGAGCATCTATGAAGGCTGGAATGGTACATGAGGTGGTGGGTGGCCAGCAACAAGAACCCGAAAATCTACATAACATTTCCAGGCACGTCCAACATCAGTGGCGAGTGATATCTTAACCGGACTTGGCCCGCTCCTCCACCGACGGTTCTCCCACTGACCAGCGTGGTGAAGTACTACGCATGGGCAAACAAACCCTCCCTGAGTGTTATGGCATGTGGAGGACCTTCAGCTAACAATTATTTGACAAACACCGTGCGTTCTTACTTTTGAAGTCTTATGCATTTTCCTTCCCACTATATTACCGTGTTCATTTATAAAAAGCTGTTAATTACTCACCTTTATGTAGTGATTATTTTACTGTTTAACCCGATCTAAAAAAAGGCAATCATTTGCACACACAGATGTGCTTGTGAACGAGTGTCCTGCCATCTTTGACTCGTGTCGCTGTTGTTGTTGCTGCTGCTGCTACTACTGTGGATGTTCAGAGTCCAAAGCCATCCCCTGAGCTTGCTTAAGTGAGACAGCAGACACAGGCGACTCAACACGCGCATATCCAGTGATTAAATACGCACACACACACATCCGGTGTGACAAAGCGCAGAGCGTTGCTGAGGTTTGTGTTTCAAATTCCAGAGGCCCCTTCCCCCAGCTATTGCGGTCTGGCACTGCATTCACCACGATATACTGCCACAACAGTCATCACGGTGTTAACCATCAGATAACCACGTGTCGTCCGTTTCACAGTCGACGTTAAAGTTATTTTTGCAAGGTGGGGGGGGGGGGCAAATTGTCACGTTGTGGCGGTTCAAATTTATGGAATGTCAAGAAAAGTTAAGCCGCGCACATAGCACACACCCGGACACACAACAATTGTCCGGACAGAAAGCTCACTCGCACAATGCGTTCCGAACACAAGAGACTCGCTCGTCAAACACGTGGCAAACGATGGGGCTCGTGCGTAGAGAAGAAACACACGGGAGAGAGGGGGACACACACTTGCGCCCACATATATACAAGCATAGGAAGAGACTTTTTTGCAGACTCATCCAAACACAGTGACTCATTTGCGCATGCATAATTTGGCGCCCAAAAACAGTCCATGCGAAACGTTGAATCGCACACATTTAGGGGACTTACACACTGCGACTCGTACAAACACGTGAGAAAAAAATTACAAGGCACACAATAAACATTGGCTCAAACGCGCGGTGGATTTGATGGGCAACAAAATAGCCACGTGGAGTGAACTAACCCCGCCTCCTGGGCGCGATCACTCTACTCGGATTTAGCGTTATCTTCCAAAAGAAGGCGCTGGCTGCTGCTGCAGACTGTAGCGAGGCTTGTGGTGGCTCAAAGCGACCGGTTTGCAGAGCGTGGTCGTGACTCTTGTCAGCCTGGGCTGTGTGGGTAGCTGGTTGGGTGGGTAGCTGGTTGGGTGGGTAGGTGGTTGGGTGGGTAGGTGGTTGGGTGGGTAGCTGGTTGGGTGGGTAGCTGGTTGGGTGGGTAGGATGTCTGGCTGGATGGGTGTATTCTGGGTGAGTGTCTGTATCCCTGATTATCTGGTCGTAGATGTGTGCGGATGGCTTTAGTGGTTGGGTAGAGATGTACGTGTCGTTTGTCTATCTGTGTGCAGGCATCTGCCTGGGTTAGGCGTATGTCTGTCTGTTGGGCAGACTACATATCTGTCTCTTTTCACTATAGCTGGGTAGGTGTCTGTTTTAGTATACGCTTGTCTGTCAAGTTAAGTGCCTGTTTATGTGTCTGACTGTTATTCTGTATGCCTGGTTAGGTGTGTGTCTAGGTGTATCTGTTAAGGTTGTCTGTCTCGGTGTCTCTATCTGTCTAGATGTCTGACAAAGTGTCCCTCTGCGGAGGCGTTTGTCCGCCTAGGAATCTCTGTCTTTAAAGGTGTCTGTCTGTTTCGTTGTCTCTTACCATCTACGTGTGTGTGTGTCTGCGTGTCTATCCGCTCAGGCGTCTGTCGAGGTGTTTACCTGCGTGGGTATCAGTCGCTTTGTCTGCCCCTGTGTCTGCCCAGTCCCACCGCAGCGCATTGGGGCGTGTGGGAAGAGGGTGGGGGGTTAGGGGAAGTTCTTAGGGGAGCGGTGGCGCAGCGGTTAGCGCAGCCGCTGCTGTGCTACGAAACCCTGGGCGGCAGCGCCCCGGGGTTTCCATTGCCGCTCACGGTCCCCAGCACCCAGCGACGATTACCCGAACCGGTCCCGTGCTTCCCCTAGGTCGACTCGGCCTGAAAACGATTTCCCCAGTGTGAACATCGTCGCGTCGGGCAGACGACGGGGAGGGAGGGAGGCCGGGCTGGGTGCTGTCCCACCCCCCCTCCCGTTGTGCTGGCGGCCTTAGTCAATGTTGCTAACTCGCTTAGTCAGCAACTTGTACCCAACACTACTGTGAAGCTACACCGAGGAGGAGGGGAGGGGGAGGATCTTTGTCTTACTGAGACAGCAACAGCAGCAGCCCCCCATTGTTGATCCACGCCGAGGCATCGACCATGAAGAACGCGGCGGAGTGGAGCGTCCGCTTACACCGTGGCCCCGGGGACTCCTCGCGCGGGGTACCCGAGGGTCGCGGACCCACCGCCCCCGCCGCCACTGCGGAGGGAGGCGATGGGTCGACGAAGTTCCACTGCTGTCGCTGCGGCGAGGAGAGCCCCGCACCCGTGTGGACGAGGCGGAGGAGCGTCGGGAGGAGCTCCCCCGCCGCTCCCATCGGTTCGCTCGCTCAGCGCGGCCCTCCCCACACCACCACCATCACCGGCTCTGGTTGCTGTTGTTGTTGTTCTAAAGTGAGATCCATCTCGCTGCTGTTGTTGCTGTTTGCTGCTGTTGTTGCTTTCATTGAGATCCATCTCGCTGCTGTTGTTGCTGTTTGCTGCTGTGCTCCCAGTGAGATCCATCTCGCTGCTGTTGTTGCTGTTTGTTGTTTGCTGCTGTTACGTTCATTGAGATCCATCTCGCTGCTGTTGTTGCTTGCTGTTGTGCTCCCAGTGAGATCCATCTCGCTGCTGCTGCTGCAGAAGCTGTAATTGTGGTTGCAATTAGCGCGTGGCTATTATTGTTGTTGTCGCTGTGTGTATTGTGTACCTGTTGTGGTGTGTACCGTACGTTTTAAACTTCTTTCGCGCTCCTACGTAAGCCGGACGTGCTAATCGACAGGAAGGACAATAAATTAAAACACAACAACAATGGTTGCAGTCGTGGTTGCTGTTGTCGCTATTATGGTACAGCAATTGTTATTTAAATTGTTGTACAATGCTGGTTGCAGTTGCTGCTGCTCTTGTAATCGCTGTCATTCCCTTGCGGTTGTAATTGTTGTTGTAACAATTAATTGTTGCAACAATTAATTGTTGCAACAATTAATTGTTGTTGTTGCAACAATTAATTGTTGTTGTTGCAACAATTAATTGTTGTTGTTGCAACAATTAATTGTTGTTGTTGCAACAATTAATTGTTGTTGTTGCAACAATTAATTGTTGTTGTTGCAACAATTAATTGTTGTTGTTGCAACAATTAATTGTGTTGTTGCAACAATTAATTGTGTTGTTGCAACAATTAATTGTTTTGTTGCAACAATTAATTGTGTTGTTGCAACAATTAATTGTTTTGTTGCAACAATTCATTGTGTTGTTGCAACAATTCATTGTTGTTGTTGCTGCAACAATTAACAATTGCAACATGTCGCGATTGCTGGAGGCCTTCATAGATGCTCGCTAACAGCACTTGCCCCGGCAGTCTGTTAAGGCTACACGGGGGATCTTTGTCTTTCGGGACTAGCAGGTTTTTTTTGCGTGTGTTTGTTTAACTTCATTGACACCCGAAGCGGTCCTTTAGAATCCGAACAAAATTCGTCTCGTTTATTTTTACAACTTGTTCGCGAACTTTTAACATTTGTTGAGTTCGTGTTTGTTAACACGCTGTCTGTCTGTGTGTGACACTGCACGTTGTTACTATAACGCGCAGTTGGTTAAATGCCTCTACAAAAGTATTGCATACTGTAGTCGACTCTAGTTTTTAAACCTAAAACAAAGCTTACGAATATATTTGTTGCTCGTAGCGTCGACATAGACGAGCTGTAAACAACAATTATAATGATTTAATACTGTTTTGCCCACGGGAGTACTCTGTATGCGCGTTAAAGTTAGCACAATACTTCAGTACCCGTTCCAGCACCATCAATATACTTGTGTGCTGTATTGATATTAAGCCCCCCTTGATAGTGTGTGTGTATGAACACATTAACCCCGTACTTACATGCCGTAGTAAGTAATGAACCTGTGTGTGTACTGGCTACTTTGCTGTATACCGGTCAACTTCTAAGTAGCGAAGCACTTTCGATTTAAAGCTTTCGTGACTGCAGGGATTCATATTCTTGGTTCTTTCGGTAAAGTCACGTAGAAGGGAAATCATAAAAAAAATGTATTGCTGTGGTTTTCACACCTGATGATGATTGCTTGTGTTGCAATCGAAACGTCGTGAGAATTTGATTGTTTTTTATTATTATTTTATTATTTCCCTTCTACGTGACTTTACCGAAAGAACCAAGAATAGCGAAGCAACTCTCACCCGTCATGGTCTTGTCAGTGACAATGTGTCGGTGACGATGTGTCAGTGACAATGTGTCAGTGACGATGTGTCAGTGACGATGTGTCAGTGACAATGTGTGGCACCCCACATCCTTGATGAGCGCAACAAATGATACCAATGTGTAACACGACTTTTGTTGCTGGGTACTAAGTGTTATTATTTTAATTGCTTATGCCTAAAAAGTTTAGAAAATGCCTTATTATTCCCGACAAACTTTGCTGTTGTGACCAGGACAAATGCACACAAATGCACACGTTTTCTCATTAAAAATAGGTAAACTCCTAAATATCACTGTCCTGGTCACAAAAGCAAAGTTTTTGGGGAATATTAGCCCATTTTCTGCACCTTTTGAGGCATGAGCAATTAGGAAATAACACTTACTACCCAGGAACAAAAAAATAATAAAATTGTTACACAGTGTTATTAATGGAGTGGATTATTAACTTGGCTTTTTGTGTCCTGGTCACAAAAGCAAAGTTTGTGGGGAATTTTGAGGCATAAGCAATTAACAAATAACACTTACTACCCAGGAACAAAATTAGTTTTTTGTTACACAGTGTAAAAATCGTGGATGCTATTTACACGTTACGATGCGCTTGAATGGCCATAGTATATAGAGGCCCTCTTTTGCCAGGCATTTGCTGCGTACGCGATTCACAACCGCAGCGACGCACAGGAGCCGCGCTTTAATTCCGTACTTGAATTTCGCTAACGTTAGGGCCCAAAGTGGTCGTCTCCGGCAATGCTGACAGGCGGCAGAGTATAACGAAAGAAGTTCAGAGTCTTGCGTTGTTAGCTGTTAACTGATGGACCCCTGACGATGGCAGGGGGAGGGCCCGTGCTGAGTGAGTCTTGCAAAGTTTGGTGTATTTTATCAGCCCGAGGCTGTGTGCCCTCCATGATTGTTGTCAGCAGCAGGAGATGGACTTTGGTCTCTTGCTTGACAGCGGTGTGATGCTTCGGTTGAGAGTCTTTGTTTTTTCTCGGCTGTGAAGCGTGTGCCTGTGTGTGTGTGGGACGTGTTTCTCTTTTTTTATTGTATCTGCTGACTTTGCGTAACAAACCAATTTTTGTGGGGTCTCGCTTGTCGTTTGGAAAGTGTCGTCTTCAAGAAATCCAACAACCGACCTTGTGGTGCGCCACGGTGGCTAGGAGATGTTAACTTCCTCGCCTGGTATGCAGGAGATCCTGGGTTCGATCCCGACCTTGACGCCTGCTCTATATTTGCAGTTTGCGGTGTCTCTCTCTCTCTCTCTTCCCGTGGTCGCGTGGATTTTTCTCCGGGACCTCCGGTTTCCCCCTCCACATTTATAAACGCGATGCGTTTATAAGAGTATTTGGCTGCGATACATTTCCACGTGATAGGCAACTTTGTTGGGCGATCATTTGTGGCCAGGTCGCGTCTGAAAAAGAGCTATGTAGCTTAGTGGGCCTTACCCGGTTAAAAAAAATAGTTGATCAGTTTAGTTTTAACCCAAGGCTATTCGGGGACCATAATTGAATGTGCTGTCTGACCAGTAGACCTGCAGAAACCTGCTTAACTACTCCTTCCGAATGCTGAAGTATTGATGGGATCTACACGAGTGCCAAGGCTTGTTATTCTTCAGCCTCGGTGTGCACACCTGTGTACGTGTGTATAGATGCTCTCTAACAGCACTTGCCCTAAACATTTTTTTAGGGCGTTACAGAGGATCTTTCTCTTTGTGTTGTAATCACTATTTTGTAAAAAAAAAAAATTCGTCACAGACCTATTCTTAATCCAATGCCGAATGAATTCCCCCCGACCGCCCGCCAAACCTTTTGGTCATGGGGGTTGTTTGATCATACTTCACCGAGCTGGTCAATGCGGGCTGTTGAAGGGCGTCCAGGACTGGTTTTAGATATTGCTCACCACTGATGTGAGCATATAACTTAGGTCACTGGGCTTTATAGTACAGTGTGCTAACCTCCCTTGTACACAGTGTTATTTAATAATTATAATTACTGCTAACATAGCAGCTTTCATCAAATCACAAGGCACTTTACATAAATGACAATTGGGGGGGGGGGGTGGTAAGAATTGGCTAAGGCCATGTTGCTTGCCTAATAATGATGATGTGTGGTGGATGGCTGGGGCTGAGAATGGCATCTTGGCGATATGGACTGAACGGTTAGTGTCGCTACCTCTCTTCCCGTGGGGGGTACAGGGAGGGGGGTGGTGGGTGGGTGAGTTTTCTCAGCCCCAGGTATAGAGTGCATTCCTGAACTTTCATGGCGAATAAAACCCTTTCTGATTCTGATTTACATTTTTTCACATTCATATTAATGCCAAATCAAATATTGATCATCCAAAATGTCATATCTAGTCCTGATTTTTTTTTTCAAATGTCGGGTGCACATTACGAGTGCGTGTGTGTTATTATATGCGTGGTGTGTGCGATGTGTTTGTAACGGTGATTCGATCGGTCTCTTTGTCTTCCCACACAGGAGCTCAGAACGGTGATGGTGTCCTTGTGCCCACAGAGCAGGAGGTGCCAACCTCGCCGGTGGATGGCATCGAGCTCAAGTCTCCGGAGAAGAAGGGCAGGAAGGTCTCCTTCCAGAAGCCCCAGGGAATGGTGGAATACACGGTGAAGGCTCCTTGGGCTGATGCCCACTTAGTGCTGTGTTGTGTTTACATTAAGGGCAATGGTCAACGTGTTTCCGTGCTCCAATGATTATTTTAGGGGGGTCGTACTCTGGAACGTCCTTCCTGTTGAGTGTTGCAGTCGAGGCAGCGATTATGATGTGATTTCCCAAATTGCGTAATGCTAGATTTTCCAAAATCAGCAAATTTGCGTCAGTCAGCCAGCAAAACCTGTTTTTTACATAGCATGATGCCTGTCTCAAACGGTACATTTCTACAAGAAGTGGCGAAGTGCTTCCACTTGGCCATGATACAGCCCCATGATTTTTATACGTGGAAAAATGTGGGATAATGGGAAGACTGTGTTTGTGGATAGCAGTAGAATCTGCAGGTAAACTTGAGGCTGTGGCCAATGGATTTTATTGTCAATAGGGTGTTTAACTGTGTGTATGTGATACGTACATGTGTTCATGAAGATCAGGTTAGAGTAAAACAGCCAGAGTTGGGCACCTGTGTGTTGGTCCACCCGTACTGGGTAGTGTTGCCCAGATCGTAATCACACTCTACCGGTCTGACTTGTTTTTGATACAGCGCCGGGTTCTGCGTTATTTCAGCTCTCTTGACCGAATTGTCGCCTGCAGGTGGAAGAAAAAGATACGCTCAACAGCATTGCCTTGAGGTTTAACACGACTCCCAACGAGCTGCTGCACATCAACCGACTATTCTCCCACACGATCGTCACCGGGCAGGTGAGGCACCGTGGCCTCGACGGATTTCTCGTCCACACGCGACATGTGACGTACGCGGCCATCCGATCAGCGCGGTTGGCCGCGTACGGTGCGAAAGAAGTTCGACATACTTACGAACGAGTTAAATTCCAGAGCTCCGTTCCTAAGTCGATTTGTTCGTTAGTCCAACTTTACTCCTGTCGATTCACGGACACACTGTACGGCATGCACACTGAACACGTGCAAATGGCTTTACAAGTTGTATCATCTCCTGTAGATGTAGATGCCACTGGTTCTTCACGCTCAGTAGATGTAGATGCCACTGGTTCTTCACGCTCAGTAGCTGTAGATGCCACTGGTTCTTCACGCTCAGTAGATGTAGATGCCACTGGTTCTTCACGCTCAGTAGATGTAGATGCCACTGGTTCTTCACGCTCAGTAGATGTAGATGCCACTGGTTCTTCACGTTCTGTAGATGTAGATGCCACTGGTTCTTCACGCTCAGTAGATGTAGATGCCACTGGTTCTTCACGCTCAGTAGATGTAGATGCCACTGGTTCTTCACGCTCAGTAGATGTAGATGCCACTGGTTCTTCACGTTCAGTAGATGTAGATGCCACTGGTTCTTCACGCTCAGTAGATGTAGATGCCACTGGTTCTTCACGTTCTGTAGATGTAGATGCCACTGGTTCTTCACGCTCAGTAGATGTAGATGCCTCTGGTTCTTCACGTTCTGTAGATGTAGATGCCACTGGTTCTTCACGTTCTGCAGATGTAGATACCACTGGTTCTTCACGTTCTGCAGATGTAGACGCCACCGCAGCCAGCTATCGCGCGGCGGTTGAACTTACGACCCTCGGTCCGAACAGGCAACTGGACATACGGACAGGGTTTGTTCGTACCTCTGAAAGTTTGCAAGTCGAATGTTTCGCAGGTGGAGAGAGAGAGTTCCCCCAATATCTACGCAAGTAACTGCAGAGACACAGCCACCGTCCCTGTTCCCCCGATCGTTGTGTCACCCTCGTGCGGTTATACCTCGCCGCCCGGCCCCACAGTGCTTGTACGTGCCTGACCCCGACGGCGCGGCAAGCGAGCGCGGCTCGCCGCCCACGAGCCCGTCGTCCCTGCACCCCCTGCAGGGGGGCCCGCCGGGGGCGGCCGGGGCCCGGGATCAGCCGCTGGCGAGCAGCTCGCCGCGGTCGCACCGCGTGCTCCGTGACCAGGCCTCCCTCTCCGAGGAGGAGGAGGAACCCATGACCAAGAAGTTCCTCAAGATCAGCTGCAAGTACATCACCAACGGCAAGGTGCGTGTAATGCGCCGTCGCCGCCGCTCCGCCGCTGCTCCGGCAGCGACTTGCAGTGGTCTTCACCGACCTAGTCGGTAGCAGTCGCAGGTGTATCCACCGCCCTCGCGGCAACAGAGGCGAGAGGAACGGCGAACGATGGAGGAGCCGGGAGCTGTTCGCGGAATGAAAATGTTTCTATTCTGACCCGAGAGGTTGATGATCAGCGTTCGGTTGCGATTTGGACGACAGTTGTTGTAGTTTTCCACGTGACGGGGTGAGCTGCCAGGTGGCTGTCATCTTCCTCCCCATTCCGACAGTGATGAGCCGTAGGCCTGCAGCAATACGTCGATTGATTAGATTTTTAAGCTCGAGGCAACGTAATCAAATGTGAGTGTAGCAGGTTATATAACAGACGATATGCGCATTATACATTTAGCATGACGGAGCAAATAAAGCTGTGAAAACAAGAGATAATAAACAAGCAACAATAGTTTGTAGTTGGTAAAGAACATACGTGTGTGCCTGCGTCTGAGAGTGAGCGCTTGTCTGTCTGTACGTACATGTTTATCACGTGCCGGTGTTTTGGGGTGTTAGGGGAGCGGTGGTGTAGTGGTTAGCACACTGCTCTCTGAACCCAGCGGACGATTCCCCATCACAGCCAACATCGGTGATCAATATATCCGAACTGGTCCTGGGCCCTCCCTTAGGTTGACTTGGTGTGTAAAAAACATCGCCACTGGCGAGACAAAGGCGTGGTGCTGGCCCACCACCCCCCTCGTATGCTGTGCTTGCCTTAACGAAAGCGCTTTCAAACGGTACTCACCCCGGCGGATTGTTAAGGCTATTGCGGGCGGACCTTTGGCTGTTGTCGGTACCTGCGCACCCATGCGTCAATGTCCGCTACTCCCCAGGGTGTGGTGGGAGGGGTGCTCCTCGTCACCCCCAACAGCCTCATGTTCGACCCGCACAAGTCCGACCCGCTGGTGCTCGAGCACGGCTGCCGTGCGTATGGCCTGCTGTGCCCCATGGAGGAGGTGATCTCCGCCGCCGTGTACCGCGACACGGCGCACATGAGCATCCGCGACACCCTCCCGGCGTGAGTTCCGCCGTCTCCTCCCCTGCGCCTCCAACCCCCGCGCGCGTCCCCCAGTGCGGTTGATCCCAAGTCGGATGGTCACGCTTCAGTCGCAACGTTGATTTTGCTTCTAATCCATCTGCGGATTGGTTTTGTTTTTTCAAGCGAGTCGCGCTTAGGATTTTTTTTGACCGAATTGTTGTGCGTTTCATTTTTCGTTGTGTCACTATTTAATTTTGCATTCGTTTCTCCCCTCCCCCTTTTTGTTTGTGTTATTCTTACTCCTAACTTCCTTTGCACATCTACGACACGACATCCTCTCCACCCGCTGCCCTTTCTCCCGTTCAATGGCCCATAACCCAACTTCATCCCCGACCCTCTCCCCTCCCTCCCCGCCCCATCCCGGCACTTCCCGCCGGTCCTTCCAATGCAACTTCCTCCGCCGTCGCGCGTGCGCAACGGTGGGGGGGGGGGGGGGCGGGGGGTGTGTTGTGTGTTGCGTCTGCACGCCTCCAGAAACTTCTCCGAGTGTTTCTGTTCCCCGAGCAGGCCCGAGGACGTGGGGGCCTTCGCGCCCGAGCACGAGCTCAGCCCCTTCACCCGTCTGGAGCGCGAGCGAGCGCGCTCGGCCGTCGCCTCCGAGCCGTCGCCGGAGCCCGTCCCCGATCGATCCCCCGGCGGCTCTGCCCGCCCGCCCGCCGGCGCCCCCGACGGCCGGGGGTGCCGCTCGTGCAACGGCCCCGCCGCCGCCGCCGCCGACGACGGGGACGACGCGGACGACGACGAGACGCCCTCGGACAGGGCGTCGTGGAGCCTGGCCTCGGCCGCGACGCAGGCGAACGCCGACTCGTCCGCGTGCGAGAACGGCGACGCCGACTCGGGCGCCGGGGAGAAGGAGGCGCCCTGGGCGGAAGACGTTCCCGCCGGCGGTGCGCGCGCGCCTTTGGAGAGCACGAAGATCCAGGGGGACGGCAGTCCTCCGCCGCGCGATCGTCTCGAGGCCGATGGCCTCACTGCTTCGTCAGTGGCGTCCGACCTCAGCTCCGCGGATGCCACGGCGAAGGCGAACGGTGGCGAGACCGCGCGCGAAGCAATCGGGCCGGATTTGCCGATGCCCAACGGTGAGATGGCGGCGGGGCAGGGCGAGCGTCCAGAAGTCGCGCTCGATCCGGTAACCGGGGACGGTGCCGCCGGGGGCGCGACGATCGCGGCGGCGATGCCGGCGGCGCCGTCAGGAGAGGAGGACCCTGCGAAGGGCGAGGAGAGTTCCGGGATCTCGGTGGAGGAGCACCCCGGGAGGGACCCGAGCGACGCCCGCGCGGGGGACGTCGCCGCTGCCTCCGCGAGCCGCGCCCGCGAACACAGCGTTGCCCCAGCGGAGAATGAAAATGAGCTTTCGGCTGCGGCGATGGCGTCGACCGCTTCGGCGTCGACACCGGCCAACGCCGGCGATAAAACGGACGCGGAGACTTCGGCGGCCGAGGAGGCGGCGGAGCCGTCGGCCGCAGAGACGGAGACGCGCAACGAGCAGAGCTCCGGCATCTCGATGGGCTCGTCCACGGCAGGCCGGAGCACCGTGTGGTACGTGGACGAGGAGGAGCTGGAGGCGGTCGTGGCCGACCGGACCGGCGATCGGGACGACAAGGAGGAGGCGGCGGCTGCGGCAGATGTCTCCTCAGAGGGCCAGGACGAGCATCCCGGCCCGGACGTCGCCCGCGCTCCTCTCGTCCGGGAGGCCGAGCGCTCCGGCAGAAAGTGGAGGAGCCTGGCCGACCTCCCCCGTAGGGTGGCGACGAAAGGGCCTCCCAAGGAGGGCAGCGGCAGCGCCCAAAACGAGGTGGGTGGCGGCGGTTCCCAGAAAGGGGGCGGAAACGCTCGCCAGAAGCGGGGCAGCGGCGCCCGCCAGAAGCGCGGCGGCGGCGGCGGCGGCGGCGGCGGCGTTCCCAAAGGGGGCGGCGGCGTTCCTCAGAGGAAGGGCGGCGGCGTGAAGCAGGAAGAGGGGAGCGGCGCGAAACGCGAAGAGGCCGACGCCGCGAGGCGGGAGGGCGGCGGCGGTGCGACGGGCGAAGAAGGCGGCGGTGTGCAGCGGAGGGAGGCTGCGAGCGCGCCACACGAGGAGGCCGCCGGCGCGCGGCGAGGGGCAAGCGACGACGCGACGGAGGAAGGGGGCGGCGGCCTGACGCGGGAAGAGGGCGTCGGCCTGACGCGGGAAGAGGGCGTCGGCCTGACGCGGGAAGAGGGCGTCGGCCTGACGCGGGAAGAGGGCGGCGGCCTGACGCGGGAAGGGGTGAGCAGGGACGCTTGCGAGGTCCTCGTGGATGGTGCGGTTGTGACGAAGCCGGCGGGTTCGGCGAAGGGAAAGAAGAGGAAGGGGGATGGCGGCGAGGGAGTTTCTCGGCCGCGTTGGGAGAGGACAAAAATTTATTCGGAGGCGCAGAAGGAACCTCTGCACCGTTTGCTGAAGACGATGGAAGAGCCAATCGAAGGTGAACAGAAGCTGCCCGGAGCAATATTTTTTAACATTCTCTAAATGCTCTACGATTTTTTAGTTATTCAGTTGTTCTCTTCATGTGTGCGTGCAGTCGTATATTTTAAGCGTTCACGTCGGCGGTTCGCGATGTGTTCTCAAGACAATTGTTTGAGAAAAATGGTCAAGCACCAACGGTGGGGAGTCTTACATAGACAGTTTTAATCATTATTATTATTATTGAAATTGCGAAAATCCAATTTGATTTACGATCCGATGCCAAACACCGTTACAGTAACAATAATTTATAGGCGTTTGTCAATCCATATCTGGATGAAGACCTCGCCGCGTCCTGCAGTAATGGGCGTTGTTTGACCATGCTTCACCATGCTGGATTGTGGAGGTGTTTAACGTTTATATTTCTGCAAAAGATTCAACAATACTTTTGCATTATTCTGTACATGGAAGATTCATTATTAAACCTGCACAGAATTTCCAATATAGCAGGACTGGTAGATGTGAATTACATCTGTTAGAAATGTACTTTTTGCATTTTTTTTACCATTTTCTAATTGTGCGTTGTAGTTTTTATTTTTTTAAAAGTGTCACAGAGAATATAAATGTGCCGTTAAACCCACCCACCACCCGGCACAGCCAAATTAGAAGGTTTGTCACGTTAACAAAAACTTGCCAATTCGTTACTGGTACAGCACACCGGCGTGTTGGAGAGCAAATCCACAACATTTACAATCGGAGTACGACATTTCACCAGTAATTACAACTAGCCTCATCAGGCGACAGCCCGATTTGTGGGGAAATACTCCTGGTCCATTGTTAAATAGAGGGATAAACGTCATGTCGTCACTTGTTAGCCAATCGGGTGCGAAATCCAGAGGGCAGGTTCGCTCTCCAACACACCATGTGCTGTACTAGTAACGAATTGGCATGTTTTGTTTACGTGAAAAACCTTAGTAATTGGCTGTGTTGGGTGGTGGGAGGTTTAACGACACATATCTACGTGATCTAGCCCAAAAAAAAAACCTCGGTTATGGATAATATTTTCCGTGAAAGCCTCCTGCTATGTGTTAAACTGTCACAGAACCTTGTTGTCGGTTAACGGACCCTAAAATCGTTGCTACAGAACCACTTTTTGTCACTACTGTACAGTGAGAGCCCCCTTTAGCAGCATTCAGGGCACATATTTTTATAACGGGTAAAGGCACAGCTCTTCAATCGCTCTCTCAAGCCACTGCTGCTGGAAGGACCTCGACTAGAGGGAGTATTTTGCCTACTCTTCCTCGCCAAACCTCTGGTATCCCTTGCAAAGTGGGATTCTCTCACACGTTAATCAATTTTTTTAAAATAAAAATGTGGAGTGAAAGACTTTAACCTTTCTGGCAATAATATAGATGTTTGAAATGTATTTTAAATCTGAAAAAAGCTGTATTAATTTGGGGAAAAAAAACCATAACTCGATGTTTTTGGTGCGGTTAATGATCAGCATGCTAAGGTAGCTACTAATTTACACGTCAGAGTCGTGGGGCGGCTGAAGCCATGTTTCAAACCCCAGTGTCCCAGTGGTGCCGGCCCAGCCGTGCGACATGAAGCGCCCCCCCAGCTCCACCCACACAGCAGCTCCTAACAAACACCTGTGTGTGTGTGTGTGTGCGTGCGCGTGCGTTCTCTCTGCACGACCAACTCCCCAATCTCTACAGCCCTGCTTCCGGCCCGCGAGCCGGAGAGCGACTCCCCGCCGATGTTCCTGTGCCTGCGCGTGGGCAAGCCCATGCGCTGCTCCTTCGAGCCGGCGCGCTCGCCGGTGGTGCAGCACTACGCCTGCCGCGGAGCCCAGCCCGAGTACTGGTTCGCCGTGCCCAAAGACAGGCACGTCCCCCGATTGTTTTCGCCGGTGCAGTCGCCACTTGTTTTGGGAGTCCGTGGCTCAAAGAGAGGGGGGGGGGGGGGAGGGGGGCAGCCGCTATCACTAGCGGTGGGCGATTACTCCTGCTAAAACGTGTACGTTTATTATCCGTGTTTATTTTTGTTAAATCTCGGTTGCTGAGCGCGGGACCAAAGGTGCGGAAACTTAAAGGCCCGAAGTGCTGTGTCCATGGAACGCAGACACCAGTGGTGATGGGTGGAGCTCGTCTGAGAGTCCGCCACTGTGGTGCACGTGCAGGGTCGACCAGCTCTACACGTTCTTCGCTCAGTGGACGCCGGAGGTTTGCGGTTGCGGCGGTGGTGCCGGCGGCGGCGGCGGCGGTGATGGCTCGGGGGAGCTGGGCTTCGTGGTTCTGGAGCGGCACGACGCGGAGGCCCTGGAGGCCATCGAAGACTTTTACTCGGACTCCTCGATGGACTGGGAGGTGCGACACGAACGATGCTCGTATTGCAATGCGGAGTACACCCCCAAAGTAATGCCTCCTTACGTGTTTTTTTTTTCTCTCTCTCTCTCTGGTATTTCTTATAGAATGTTTCCGCCCGTGAAATTAAGCCAAAGAGTTCACTGGGCCCTTCCTGTGGACATACAATCTAAATATCTAAATAGGTATTGATGGTTAAATTTCGATTTTAAAACGAACAAAATCATCTCTGATTCAACAGCATTAATTGATGAGATCAAACAGTTCTCGTTGAAACCCTCTGCTGCCAGACCACCAAGATTATATGGCCTTCCAAAGATACACAAAGAAGATACACCCCTTCGTCCCATAATCTCTACTATCAACTCCCCCACCTATAAACTGGCACGTTTTCTTGCTGATATACTGCGACCTTTCACTGGAAAAACCACCTCTGCGGTACTAAATTCTACTCACCTGATATCGACAATCAAAGGCATTTCCCTGTCCCCAGACGACCTGCTTGTCAGTTTTGATGTGGTGTCCTTGTTCACCAAAGTCCCGGTACCTGACACCATCGCTATCATTGAAGACCTGGTTCATCAAGGACTGCATACTGATGTACCCCCCCTGGTGAGACATTGCTTAACCAACACATACTTCACCTGGAATGGAACTTTCTACAAACAAACTGAGGGCACCCCAATGGGCTCCTCCCTATCTCCGGTTGTAGCCAACGTATTCATGGAAAAATTTGAAACTGACGCCATCCAGACTGCCACTCTACGCCCGACCTTATGGAAGAGGTACGTGGATGACACCTTTGTCATCTGGCCACATGGCCAGCCTGCTCTAGACCAATTCCGCGACCACATCAATTCCATACACCCAGCCATCAGATTTACCATGGAGGGCGAAAAAGATGGCAAACTACCCTTTTTGGATGTCTTAATTAAAAGGAGACATGATGGTTCAATGAGCCACTCTGTCTACAGGAAAGCTACCCATACAGATGCTTACTTGAAACCGGATTTTCACCACCATCCATCCCAGAAGAACTCCCTCATCAAGACTCTATACCATAGAGCCCAATGCATTTCCGACCAGGAACACATTACCAGTGAACTCACGCACGTACACCAGGCTCTCAGGGCTAATGGTTACTCCGACTACACAATCCGCAAAGCCATCACTCCAGTCATGAAGAAGGATCCTCTTGTGGAGCCACTCAAAACCATCACCTTACCCTACATTGCAGGGGTCACTAAAAATATCTCCAAAATCCTGAATAAACACAAGATCCAGGTCCGATTCAACACAGTACATAAAATCCGTGATTTAGTTCCATCTGTAAAAGATGCTGTTCCAGACATACAGTACCCGGGCGTTTACAAACCAAAGTGCCTCTGTGGTAGTAGCTACATTGGAGAAACCAAACGACATATCTCGGACCGCATCCGCGAACATAAAGCAGACTTGAAACACGGTAGAACGAACTCCTCTGCCGTGGCAGATCACTGTTATAATTCAGTGGGCTCACATGACATTGACTTCTCCAAAACGGAGGTTCTTTGCAAACCAACCAGCTACCATGAGAGATTCGTTCATGAGGCCATTCACATATACAAGCACAGAGACAATTTCAACCGAGAAGATGGATTCTGGCTTAGTAACCATTGGAAAGATGTTTTAAACCATTTCCGTTCTCAATTAATTGTATTTTACGATGACCTTCAGACCGCAGCTCTTTCGCCAGCATTGACTCTTAATACCTCTCACACCACGGTTAATGGTATGGTTTACAACATGGAGTATAATAGCGCCTCGCAGCTGTCTCTCTCCCCCTCCTCTGTTCCGACCATGGATGAACTCGTCCGTCTGAATGGGGCCCGTAGCTATCCGTGTTGCTAAAGTTGAGGGTAAGAATCCACCCATTTTTTCGCCATATAGCATTGTGATATATAACGACTTATTGTTGGTAGCTTAGCTGATTGGAGAATATAGAGTTTATTGATAACATTAAGGTAATTTATATTTTAGTTTTTTATTGGTTCACTATGTAGTATTCATTATATATTGTATTGTATACCCAGTTACTGTGAATAGCTCAGATGTGTAGGCCTTGACTTCAACATAGCCATTTATGTGACCAGTCACTAGCTAATCACTCATTTATTTCAATGCTAAATTCGCCTAGTTATTTCAATGCTAAATTCTCCTGTTTGATTTGTACTAGGTGCCTCGGTGAATGTGTATGCTCTGACTTTAACATAGCTATTTCTGTGACCAGTTACAAGCTAATCACTCAGCTATTTCAATGCTGAATTCTATGCTAATTCCTTTGTCAAGGGGTGCCTCTGCGGATGTGTATGCTTTAACTTAGCTATTTCAATGCTAAATTCTATGCTAATTCCTTTGTCAAGGGGTGCCTCTGCGGATGTGTATGCTTTAACTTTAACATAGCCATTTCTGTGACCAGTCACAAGCTAATCACTCAGCCATTTCAATGCTAAATTATATGCTAATTCCTTTGTCAAGGCGCTTTGTTTCTTCTCACACAGCTTAAAGGTCGTGATCTGAGCGTGGCTTTTTCACTCCAGCGCTGTCCTACCAGACAGTCTCGTCCCTTCACCTGATGAAGGCCGCTTGTGTTGTGGCCGAAACGTCGTGAGAATATTATTGTGTTATTTTATTTAATCAATTTATTATTTATTCTCATTCTACGTGACTTTACCGAAAGAACCAAAGAAGAGGTATTGATGGCTTTTATTTAAACAGGGGAGCCCCCGATTTCATCTTTGGGATGTCTGACCAATTCCATGAATGGGTGATTTGGAATGAGAGAAAAACAGTACCCGGAGACAACTCATGCATTTGTTTAGGCGAAGAACACCCGAGACAGATTCAGATACTATCTGTTGCATACTTTGCAGTCCAAAAACCTACAACACCTGGAATTCACAAGCAGCCTTTCATCCAAGTACTAACCAGGCTCGGGCAGCTTGGCTTCTAAAAATCTGACAAGAATGAATGCATTCAGGGTGGTTTTAGTCTGATAACAAAATTGTCGGCAGTCATTAGTGGAAATGTCACGAATACTTGCATGTCGCTTAACACTGACGCACATGAGGTGGAAGTGTTGGGTTCAAAACTGGGTTTTATTCACCCTTGATTAAACTGGATTGTCTAGTGCAGCACTCCGTTGATGGCCCTGAGTTGAGTCACTGCATGAAATTAAAATTAAATAAGGGTTTTGCACTTGGTTTGTTTGAATTCCATCTTTTCAGAATTACATATGCAAGTTTGAATTCCGTGAGACAACCAACCAACATTGCTCGATTTCATTTGTTCACGCGTGAGTAAGAAACATTCAGCCCTTAAGCCGTTTTTACAAGAAAGACCTGCGGAGGATCTTGGTGGAGAGAAAAAAGTAGGAAGCTAGAGCAGCGAATAAATCATAACATTGCAGACACTTAGTAGCAGACATGATGGAGGAAAACAACATCCAGGTCACGCACCATTCTGAAACTATACTATGCATTTTTAATTTGATTTTACTAGGTAAGGCCCACTTAGCTATGTAGCTTTTTTTCAGAAGCAACCTGGCCACAAATGATAGCCCAACGAAGTGGCTTATCGGGTGGGAATTCATAGCAGCCAAATACTTTGAAACGCATGTTTCTAAATGTGGAGGGAAAAACCGGAGGACACAGAGAAAAACCCACGCGGCCATGGAGAGAGACACGCAAACTCCAAATATACAGCAGCAGCAGCAGCAGGCGTCAGGGTCGGGATCGAAGCCACGACCTCCTGTATACCAGGCGAGGTAGTTAACATCTCCTAGCCACCGTGATGATGATGAGAGAGAGACACGTAAACTCCAAATATACAGCAGCAGCAGCAGCAGGCGTCAGGGTCGGGATCGAAGCCACGACCTCTTGTAACCAGGCGAGGTAGTTAACATCTTTCAAGTAGCACCGGCGGGTAACACAGAAATATGACACCAACTCGCACGATGTTAGCTAACCACGTGTGCAAGACAAGGGAGATGTTAAATCAAGGAAGGAATTTTCAAAGGCCAGGGGGAGGGATTTCAGCAGAAACCTCAAAGCAAGGCTAAGAGGTCACCAATGGGGTGACCTTGTGTATGTTTGTTGAATTCCTTATTGTAATTTACAGGGTGTTTTAAAAAGATGGACCCGATTTGAAATCGCTATATATATCTGCAACCACGAACCGCCCATGAATGAAACTCTTACCACTTGAAAGAGTTTCAAATGATTACCGCTAGATGCCTATCCCAGCGCACAAACAGCCCCTAGCCTCAGTCATTCGGAAGACGGTGACCCCGCAACACAAGGGGCGTTTTGCGTTCTGCAGTTCAGCAAGACTGAATCCGTAATTGCGGTGCAGCGTGCGTTTCAACGGCGTTTTGGCATTGATCCGCCGATGTCGAGGAGCATTCGTCGTTGGTACCGACAATTTGAGGAAACGGGCTGCTGTTGATGTAAGGGGAAGAGCACAGGGCGACCACGCGTTTGGGACGAATTAAACTATCGTCTCGATGTTGTCCGTGCAGCAGGTAGAGGGCACATAGAACATTTATAAAATGGTTAGTACAACTTTATAACTCATCAAACCGGTTTGTAACTTTTTGTGTAATTGTAACATGTTGCCATCGTGAAATATACTGCTTTGAAATTGGGTCAATCTTTCTAAAACACCCTGTATATTGGAGTTGTTAATTTCCTTATTGATAGAATTAGTGACCGTGTGTGTGTGGGTGCACGGTTTCAGGAAAGGGCGGTCCTGCACAGATGCCATATTTTCTGTCCATCTGCTACAGCAGAGGTGTAGGGAATTCCAACAAGACCTATATCTCTGCTTTATTGACCTGGTCAATACCATCAGTAGGCCTGGGCTCTGGGTTGTTCTTCGTGCTTTTGGAGTCCCTGACCCCCTGCTCACGATCATTAAGGACTTTCATGATGGTGAGCGGGCCCGGGTAAAACTACGTGGCCGGGAGTCAGAGCCATTCCCTGTACACCTTGGGGTGCGACAAGGATGTCCTCTGGCTCCCACATTATTTAACATATATTTTGACCATGTAGTTCGTGAAGCCTTCAATAGCTGTACCAGGGGAATCTCCATTTGGTACAGATATTATGGGAGGCTGATCGATGCCCGGGTGCGGTCAAGGGATGGGTCCCTATTGCTCAACCACGTTATGTATGCCGATGATTTGGTAATAGCTGCTCATTCAGAGGAGGAGTAGGAGACGCTGCTGCTGAGACTGGAGCGTGGCACTAAGAGATGGGGCCTTACCATCAGCCCCACCAAAACTAAGCACCTGCCTGGGTATTTTGTACCATCGGACACTCCACCCCCACAACTCCCAATCGGTGATGGGGCAGTTGTGGAGAGAGTGGAGAGTTTCCCATACCTGGGAAGTGTGCTTATGACCGGCTCCAGTTTAACAGCAGAGGTCTCACTCCAAATCAGTCGAGCGACAATATCTTTTCATCAGTTGCGTAACGCTGTGTGGAAGCTACCTGGTCTGTCGCTCCGCACTAAGCTTCAGGTCTTCTCGGCCACGGTTATTCCCTCCTCTACGCTTGCGTAACGTGGACCCCCTTAATGGAACATCTTCACCGGTTAGAAAAATGTAGGCTAGCCTGCCTACGATCCATCCTGGGTTTAACCAGGCTGGATTGTGTGAGGAGCTCACAAATCCTTGAAAGATCTGGGCAAGGTCCCATCGGTGAGCTCCTCCGGCAGGCAAGGCTGCGTTGGCTGGGTCATGTAGCCCGCATGGCCAGCCACCGCATGCCGAAACAGCTTTTGTTCGGCCGGATCGAGGGTGCTAAACGGGCGCGGCACGGGCTAGAGAAGAGATGGAGTGATGTGGTACAGGAGGACGTGGAGCTGAGTGGACTTGCCGATGACTGGTACCAGCGGTGTCAAGATCGGCCTCTGTGGAGGAGGCTCGTGAAGGACGCTACTGGGCAGTTGGAGGCAGTCACCCTCCAACAACAACGGAGGGCGGAAGAGCGACGCTCACAACAACGAGCAGAGCACCGGGTGGCTAAAGCACAGCAGGTTGGCACAGTAGGGGGCACAGGTGGTGCATCAGCCAGTCATGTCAGTCAGTCGACCCGTGGCACCTCTGTCTGCCCCGTGACCTCCTGCCAGCGGGCGTTCGACACTTCACGTGGCATCAAGGTGCACATGGCCTGGCACAAGCGTCGTGGTGACGTCACCGCCACTTAGTGGCGAATGGCGGTTGTTGTTGTACTCGTGAGGAGCGGAAGTGTCGCGATTAATAAGCTGCGCTATGAACCTGGCAACTGGTTCGATTCCCACTGATGGCTGACACCAGTGACGATTATCTGAACCGGTCCTGGGCCTCCCCTAGGTCGACTCGGCATGAAATGAGTACCTGGTGCGGTGTGTAAACATCACCACTCGGGAGAAAAATGCAGCTGAGAGTGGTGCTGGCCAACTTCATAGGTGCTACTTGCTAACAGCACTTGCTCCTAAAGTCTATTAAGGTTATACGGGGGATCTTTGCCTTTGTACTCCTGTTACCCAGATCGTGACCCTGGAGGAGGCTCTGAGGAGGCAGAGTCTCCACACGCTCACCGACAGCGAACCCGAGCCCATGTGGCCAACGTTGAACGTTGAGAGCAACTTATTGCAGCACCACCACATTGAAAAGGTACGCACATGGACACACACACACGCGACACTCTAAAAATACATACATCTCTTTCGTCGTCGAAGTTAACGGGACTCGAATAGATAACAGACAGGAACTGTGTTTACAATATATAATGAAGCTAAAAAGTAACATTTTCTACGTGAGATATATTTTCTGTCAAGCCACCTGCAGGCATTGTAGACAATTTTTTTCCAGCAACATTTGACCAGGCAAGCTTTGGGACTTTTACGACCTTCAGCGCCTCATCAGCAAAGTCAGGCCTGCTCAGCAGTAGCTGCAGGCTTGCCAGATGTTACAGCTAAAGAGCACTCCAAGAACACCGTTTCGGCAATTGCGTGTTAAAAAAAAAAAAAGCAAAATCGTAAAAAAAAAACCTTCGTGCCCTGCAGTAGACGATCATGGGTAAGACTATTTAAGCGTTTTTTTTTTTTTAAATTCCAGGACTTCGCACGCTGTCCATTAACACATCCGATAACGGACTCCCCTGCCCGATCGCGACAAATCCAAAAAGCGGGCGTTCCCGCCTATTAAACGGGTCGCTGTGGATGCGCGCAAAAAAACCCCTGCCGCGTTCCGCCCCTTCCGCCCCTTCCTTCCACCCCCCGAGCGCCGCGTTCCCCGCCACCCGCTCTGAACCGCGTTCCCCGCCACCCGCTCTGAACCGCGTTCCCCGCCACCCGCTCTGAACCGCGTGCCGCCGCCGCCGCCGCCGTCCGCCGCTCTTGCCCGCAGCTGGTGCCGGAGCTGCCCCCGCGCACGGTGGGCTACACGTGGAGCCTGCTGTATGGCACGGCGCAGCACGGCACGAGCCTGGGCACGCTGTACCGCGCCGCTCTGCTCTCCGACTCGCCTGTGCTGCTCGTTGTGTGCGACACCGACGGGCAGGTGGGCGGCCTCCTCCTCCTCCTCCTCCACCACCACCACCACCACCACCCACACCCCGCCTCCGCCTACTCACCCACAACCTCCACCCCCACCAACCAACACCAACCAACACCTCTCTTTAAATTGTATCACCACTCCTTCTTTAACAATGCCATGTTAAATCTTGATTGGACATGTTCAGGTAGTATTTATTATTGTTTATTATACTAGCTCAAGCAGTTTTGGTCGCACGATTAGGATTGTGTTTGTGGGGAAATACAACAGACAATGACAAAAGACTTAAGACGGGATCACAGACCGTGTACGGAATGCTTACGTTGAGTAGATTTTTTTTTTTAATTGAGTTTGGGGTTCAAAAACTGAGTCGGAGGTTCTTGTATTGAAACGTATAGTTTGTTTATTGATGAGGGGTTCCTATTCTGAGTAAGGAGGTTCTTAGAGTAGCGGGTTCTGAGGGCAGTGGGTTCCTCAACTAAATATGGAGCTCCTCAACGATCTGAAGCAATTGGCTCTTGTATCTCAATTGGCTTTCATGTGTAATATCTAATAAAGATCACGTACATGTAGTAGGTAGCCTCTGGCAAAACGGATTTGATAATTACTTTTGGGTGTGGCTGCGAATGTGACTTCATCGCCAGCTGTTGCTTAATTCACCCGCCTTTCACCCTGTCTCCGTAGACCACAGAGGCAAATTGGCGAATTGCATATCTGTCGACCCATGCGGTTTCCCCGTATTCTTGTACAGGGAAATTGAGTAACACGAATAAAATTGCGTATTTTTGTTTGTGTTTCTCGCTTGTGATGGGACTTCTTTGCCTGATGAACCTTCATATTTATAAAGGGCGCGGGGTGACCAATAAGGTCTGCATTGATCTGTAATGAGATAGGGCCCTGATGAGGGGTTTGACGGGTGTGGGAATTGGGAGTTTGAATGTAACGCTGGCAGTGAATTTTCACCGGGGAGTGTCGAGCCTTGAGGCTCGCAGGTTGCGACTCTCTACCAACCTCGCTTGCTGCAGAACCAGGCGGCTTGCTCGGCAGCGGAAGCAGACACGCAGCAATGGCAACGGCAGCCGCCATTCGCCACTATGTGGCGGTGACGTCACCACGGCGCTTGTGCCAGGCTATGTGCACGTTAAGGCCCCACGTCGTGTCGCACGCCCGCTGGCAGGAGGTCACGGGACAGACCCCCCCCCCCCCCAGGTGTACCATGAGTTGCCTGAGATCACCGGCTGATGCACCACCTGTGGCCAGGCTTGCCTGGTATTCCTCGGGGCAGCAGCGGCACACACGATAGCACCCGCAACAACAAGATTACACAGCAACAGCAGCAGCCTGGGCCAATGAAGCCTTATCTCAAGTCAGGTTTGCCTGGTACCCCTCGGGACATCTTGAGGCTTTAGTGGGGACTTGGTGATGAGTGGAAACCTAAAATCCCAGCCTCACTCTACTGCCCTTGCTGACAGTACTGGGTTTCCGGATGATGTGCGTTTGTCTCTCACCGACTGCCTTTCTCCGAGTGATTCACCAACCTCCATCTCCATGTCGCATTCCGGCGACATCAATGACGCAGGCTCGCGTCAATATTCGTCAGCGGCATCCAGCAATTCTCATCGATCGTAGAAAAGAGGGGCGTGTTCGTTACTGCGAGCTATGAAAGTCTAGTCTTTCACCCACACGGAGCTCGGTTACGTGGCATCTAGTTGTCCCAAGCCCAAGAGGTTTTTAGAACCTTTCGGAACAGACGGGCGCCGTTCGCCGTGGAGACGCAAGGCGTTTGTTGCGTGACGGCCTGGACGAAACGAGCACCGACTGGCACGAACACGAGCCCACTCGCTCAACTGGACATGTTGACCTCTCTCCCCTTCCCACGCGATCTTTCGGCTGCTCTACCGGCTTGGTGCCATTTGCTGAGATCGTTTTTTTTTTCTTCCCTCCACCGTCCGCGAAACCGCACTGCATTTGCCGACTTGAGCGCATTTACGGGGTTGCATAGCGGTGGGGGGGGGTCGTCTGGGTTGCCCCGTGGTAGAGTAAAGGAAAATTCCATTGGTGGGAAGGTGGGAAGTACCGTGATGCAATGTGAGATGAATGTGTCGTGGGCCTTGTGTGTGTGGGTGTTTTGAGTGAGTGTGTGTGTGTGTGTGTGCGCGCGTCTGCATACATGTGGGGAGAGACACAAAGGCGGTCGCGCGTGGTGTTGGCCACCCACCCCCTCGTGTACTGTGCCGGGACCTTCGTAGGTGCTCGCAAAAACAGCACGTTCTGTTTGGGCTATTGTAGGGGTTTTTGTCTTTGCACGTATGGATATATATATATGGAGTGGGGAGCGGTAGTGTAGCGGTTAGCGCGCTGCGCTACGAACCCGATGACTCGAGTTCGATTCCCACTCACTGCCAACACCAGTGACAAATATCTTAACCGGTTTCTGGGACTCCCCTAGGTCAACTCAGACTTAAATTTGTTTCCCGGTGTGGTGTGTAAAAGAAAATCGGCATCGGGGAGATGAAGGTGGCCAAGCGTAGTGGCCACTCACAGAACTTACCCCAATGGTATGTTAAAGGATATATATATGGGTACTAGCTTTACTACCCGGCTTCGAACCGGGATTTGGATTCTTGTCTTGGATTTATTGACGGCCTACGCGGAGGGTGGGGGGGAGGGGGGATGCGTGACGTCAGCAGGCACACTGCGTGACGCTGCCGCATGCGGGTGACATCACAGATGTGACGTCACCGCTCACTTGCCGTGCAAAATATTACATCCATTATGGCGCCCCCCCCCCTCCCCAAATACTTTTTGCATTGTGTACTGTCTGGAAGCTACCCACATGCCAAATTTAAAGTTTGTTCCATGTCGGGAAGTATGCTCAACATTTCGAACAGACACACACATTCACAAATTTCCCTTTTTTTATATATATATTTGTGATTTGTATGTCTGTGAATATTAGGGGGAGCAGTTGTCTAGTGGTTAGTGTACTGCATTACCAACCTGTTGACCCGAGTTTTATGAATATCTTGAGTGAGTTATTCACCTCTCTGGGGTCATCTCAACCTTAGATTAGTACCCGGCATTACTAGGCACTTGGCAACGGCACTTTTCCCCCCCAAACGGTCTAATAACGGATGTACGCGTGATCTTTGGTCTTCCTGTGGGTTTCGACTTGCTTTTGACTTCTCCCTTATGTGTGTGTGCGCATGCACTTGCAGGTATTCGGGGCTTTCGTATCCTCCGCAATCCGATGCAACGACCACTACTACGGCACTGGAGAAACCTTCCTGTACACCTTCAATCCAGACTTCAAGGTAGCCTCTCCATAACAGACGACTGCTCGTGAAATGTGAAACGGCTGTGTTCTCACGCGTCCTTAGATTTTTGGGATGCTGCCGTATTGTTGTGGTCCGCACAATGGAATCGCCGGCCAAAGGCCGTGGGGGTTCGATTCATTATCCCGGGCCTGGTCAGTTGAAACAATGGTGCGAGTGTATTAAATCCCTCTGTTTTTGTCCACTTGGCGTTATAAATGGTTTCGCTGAATTTAGTTGGTCGGCAGGTTTTTGCGTATGGTGAGTGTTGGTCGAGCACCACGGTGGCGAGGAGATGTTAACTCCCTCGCCTGGTATACAGGAGGTCGTGGGTTCGATCCCGACCCTGATGCCCGCTGTATATTTGGAGTTTGCGTGTTTCTCTCCGTGGTCACGTGGATTTTTCTCCGGGTCCTCCGGTTTTCCCCTCCAAATTTAGAATCAACGTGCGCTTGATTAAAATTTTCTTTCAACGATTGCTGTAATCTGCAGCTATTACGTCTGTACTTATTTGATCTATAGCGCTCCCTTCAAAAGGAGCCGTTCAACCACCTGCTTATAAATAAGTTTTGTACGTGTTTTTGTTGTTGTTGCTATTAACCGGTTTAATTGTATTGTTTAATTTGACTTCAGATTTTCAGGTGGACGGGAGAAAATTCTTTCTTTATCAGCGGCGACAAGGATTCCTTGGTCATTGGTGGAGGAGAGTGAGTCTCAATCGTTTCATCCGCCATTCAGCGACACATTTTAATACCCGAGTTAATGAGTACTTAGTACGGCATCGCTCTTTCACGTGAAACCGTTGTTTAACCTGAACATAAGTCCGTGGACAAATGTGCCCGTTTATCCAATTTTCCTTGCATCGGCTGAACGGCATTTTTTGTTGCTTTGATGCGTCCTCATCCCTGCACGATTTCTCTCCACCCCCTTCCCTGCTGCCACTGTCGCTCATAATTCCCCCACCCGTTACGCCCCCCCCCCCACCCCCCCCCCCCCTCCTCAGCGGCGTGTTTGGGTTGTGGCTGGGGGGCGACCTGTACCACGGGTCGAGCCGCCGCTGCCACACGTTCAAAAACGAGCCGCTGGCCACCCGAGACGACTTCTGCGTGCGGGCACTTGAAGTCTGGGCCTTCGAGTGAGCAGCCCCGGTGTCTCCCGGCCGAGTGGCCCCCATCGAGGGCCCCCCCCCCTCCCCACCCCTCCCCACCCCACCCCACCACACCCCACCACTACCCCACCCCACCACACCACACACGCCCAGCGCCGAAGGTGACGATGATGAAACAGCGCGACACGCCAGGGGCGAACCCCTTCGCTTCACGGGCACCACGGACGCGTACCAGACGTTCCCTTCCAGGTCCGGGCGTAACCAAAGGGTCCGGCGGCCCCACCACAACTTTGGCGCAGGTTGTGGCGAGAATCCCTCGCGGCGTGCTCAACACGGCCCGGGGTAAATATTTGCGGAGATCGCTCCGCCCGCAGTCCGACTCGGCGGCTAAAGGCGCCTGGTGGAAATGCGGAAGTGAGCTTTTGAGCGGAGCGCACGGCCGTACGCGAGTTGTACGGCACACTCGTCGTTGCTTGTGCTTACGCAAGGTTTGATTTTTGTCGGTGTTGGGGTCGTTGAGGGGGGTGGGTGGGTGTGGTGGTGGTGGGGGGGGGGTGATCGGTTTGTTGCCCGCTGCCGGCCGGCTCTGGCGACTCCACCGTGCCCCTCGCCACGCGGGTCGCTTAGCGGGTGATGGGCTGCGTTCATCTGTGCGAGAAGGTTCTCTTGCCCACTTAATTACGCCGCCCTACGAATGCCCCGCCTTCATTTGCTCTCTTTTACAAGCGGCACAATGTTTTACAAGCGGGGATTGCCAGCGTAGCAGCCTGGAGCATGTGAAAGGGACTTGGGAGGCTTATTAGCGACAATAACGGCTTTGGTTCTCTGACGATAGTATTGTGATGCATTGTGATGCTTATCTCTGGCCGTGAAATGCTTTAATTGTCCGCGTTTGGGCTTTTGTGATCGCTTTCGGCGATCGTTCTGGTCGTGTCCAGCAAAACGTTCACAATTTGAGTCAAACGTTATCTGAAACCAACGTGGTGCGGTATGGTGTGTGCAGGATTTCAAAACGAGGCTTTGGTTTTGGTTTGATTTTAAACGAGCCGTGAGATTGTGGAAACGAAAAAAATAATGCAGGAATTGGTGCAGGAAAAAGTCTCGTGAGGTGCTACTTAAAAAAATAAAAATTGTAGCATCTTAATTGGTTCTTCTTTTATAAGCCATGGCCTTGTACAATGCGCCTGTCTCTCTCTCTCTCTGACAGGTCCAGAGCCAGCTGTTAATAGTGAAGCAAGCCTGGGTGGTCGCATTGTACGTGTCGTCGCTCCCAGGCTGTGTTTTAATTTCCTAATCGGGATGAGTGACCACTCACGCACCACCTGCACCATGCCTGGCCTTTCAATGGGGGAAGATAAAACATCTCGTGGTAAAAGGTCTGATGAAATGTTCCTTTGACCTAATGTTAGACCCCGTTTTCTGAGCCACATTTTTACACTTTAAATAATGATACTTGGTGTATTAGCTTGGGAAAAATCTGCAAGTTTAATCCTTTTAACGTCCTAGTCTCAAAGCCTTTCAACAACGCATCATATTTAAAACGGATCTCTTTGTGAACACACGAGGGGTTATTCGCATGTGAAATACAAATCACAAGTATGCTCTTCTGCACAAAAACAGACACTTAAAACGTGGACAACCTCTGATGAATTGATCTTCATGGAATACTCTTGAATACAGCGCCAGTGACGTATTTTTTTTAGACGAAACTTGATGGTGGATTCCGTCCTGTACAATTTTTTTTTCCAACTGCAGTATAGCCGAGGCTGTGATGGTCATTTTACGTTGTTCAAGACTTCACAGTAGTCTCTGTGCCATGTTGTATTCCACTTAAATAATACAACTCGAAAAGCTGAAACTACCACCATGAACGTAATTTGAAGCCTCTTGAGAATCTTCACGTTTAGTATTCCTGCAGGTGTTGTGTTTGTACAATCCGCATGTAAATTCCTTGCTAATTTTTAGTATATATACGAGTCCCAAAAAGTTATTGTTGCGGAAGCTTTGATTTGTTTCGTATGGCAGGATGGAAATAGCAACGGTCTTGAAACGTGCTATAGTTCTTACGCTACGTTTTTCTTAAAACCAATCCAAGCGGGCAGTCAACGATCTATAGCACTTCCAGTTAGCGCGGCTGGCGACGTACGGTGCGAAACAAGTTCAACGTACATTTGCTGCCCGTTTTCTCTGCAACACACGAGGGAGGTCGCCCATGGTTGGCAGAACTTAATTACAGTTCGCTGTGGCCACCCTCATTAGAACGATCGCTCATTGGCGGAAACTGAGCGCGTGTGCTTTTGGAGTAGTTGCCGCATTCGAGGGCAAGTGGGCAGGCCAGGCAATGTGGAGACGCGTCGACCTGTGTTTCGCAGGGCTTGTTTGGCGCGCGGTTCACCGAATTAACCACCACATTGAAATGATCGCTCGTTGCCGGAAGCTGAGCGCATGTGCTTTCGGGAGTAGTTGGCTGTATTCGAAGGCAGCGGTGGGGCCAGGCGTTGTGGATGTCCGAGGCCTGGATTGTTTAACTGAATCGTGATTGAATCATTCTGTTGTTGTGGTCCGGTAACAACGACACGAAGAACGGTGCTTTTCCTTGGTTTGGTAAATGTGACGTCGGGTTATTATGATTGCACCTCTGCTGCCATGAGCGATGTGAAGCTCGCGAAATGTGATAGACGCATTACAGGAACTTTAACGAGTTTGAATTCGACGTTTGTTTCTTCATTATATGGAGATTTGCTTGAAATGCACGGCTCTACGTTACTGTATTTCTTTTATTATTAACGTAATTTTTATTATTATATTTTAATACAATACTTGAAATGTGTTTTCTAACCGGTTGGTGCTTGGCCCCCCCAAGTGCGGTGAATTTATATTGCATCTTGGAAAACTGAAACTTGCATTAAAACACTTTTAAGAATATTAATATTTTTAACGATATCACACATATTACCTTTGCTCCGGACACTTTGCCTCCAGTATTTGGTCGTTTAAATGAAATAATGTAACGGAATATTCACGTGCTGCACGTTCGTGCGGTGATGACTTTGGTTAACCGTGAGTAAAATAATTGAATAATAATGTACAGCCCTTTGTCACTTTACTGCTGGATTGACGTGTCAGTGATGTGGGTTATATGACCGTACTTCACCATCCTGATCAGCGTGGGCTGGTGCATTTGAAGGCCACACAACCGGTTGTGGATATCGCTCGCCACTGATGATGCCCGTTACCAGGAATCGAACTCGGGTAACAGCAGGGTTCATGGCACGGTGAGATCACAATGTGCCCATCGCTACACCATTGTTACGTACTCCATACCCCTTACACAGTATTCCGATGGTTTTCCAAGATGCTATATTTTTACCACTTTCTGCAAACGAAGGCTTTTTTTTGTATTTGGTCACGCGGATGTGTTATTGATGAAAGATTTCCGCTGGTTGCTCGTTAAAAAAAGTATTGCATATCTGTCGCACTATTTGTTTCAAGCTTATAAGAGCAATGTAATGGAACGCTAAAGACATAATCTAGTGACCGCTTGTGTTGAGCACATTTAAAAACTTGGTCACAAATCCACTTGGGAGGAAAAAAGGTCCCTTGTTACCGTGACCATTAACAGTTATTTAGGTTCCTTTTAGGGAAAAAGAAGACATTAACTGAAGTTTTAAACTGAAATTAGTTACTTGAAATGTAATGAATTTACAAAACAAAAAAAAATCCTTTTGAACTTGATGCCTTGCAGGTGCATGCAGTTCATCCCCCATACTCCAATCTTCCCCACTAACTCGCTAATTTCAGAGACGTTTTACAAAAAAAAATACATACGATAGTGTTTTCCTGTGTTTGGTCGTAGAAAGATGGAATACGCGACTCGTGACCTGTATTTGGCTGCCGCCTTGTACACAGCAGGGTGCCACCAGTGGCAGCAGGGTGCCACCAGTGGCTTCAGTGTGAGCAGGAGGAAAATGCTGTCTTTTCTTTTTTGCAGTCTCAACAAACGCACTTGGTAAAATGTAACATTTGGAACGCAACATGATGCCTTCTTGTTCAAGAGTTTATTCCTCTACCGGATGGGCGAGCGTTTGAAATCCCCGCAGTTTTGCGTGAAGCAGCGGTGCGGTGAGGATGGGCCAGCTGGCCCAGAGCACTGGGTCAAAGCACTGAGCTTGCAATGCTGCCGGCATCCTGGGTTGAAGTCCGGCTTTCAATCACCCGTGATGAAACCAGCTTTCTCAAAGTGTGTAGAGCAGTGGTTGGGGCTCGGTCTGATCGCGAGCCAGTGACTTAAAATGAATCGTTCAGTTTCGTCGTTGACAAAATATGCTTTGTTCAAGCCCTTGAGAACGAAGTATTTTTTCAGTTTGACACCGTGACAAGCGCTTTCTGCAGGGCATATGAAGATCTGCCCCGAGTGTGGATAAAGAGGCACGTTCGTGTTACTCAAGACGTGATGTATTCTGGTGCGGTTCTCCAGAACACGATGTGGTTACACCGCTTTCGGCGAGAGTTGCGGATGGAGCCGTCTTTTTGTTGCCTCGTGATGCCGATAATGCAGTTGGAATATAATGGAGGGGATGCGAAAGCAAAAAATAAAGGTCCTTGGCGACGAGATTCGTCTATTTATTTTTGAGACCGGGGTGACGCTTTCAACTCGAGCAGGTGCCCGGCACGGCTGTAAACGGTAACATATCTCACCATGCCACTTCTGGAAAACCGCGTGCGCTTGTGAACTCAGACTGGAAAACTCAAGGGGGCGTTTGGCACTAAGCCACTGCGCCCGGCCCGCATTGAGAATCATTTTTTCGCGTTTTTGACGGGTCGTGACGTGCTCATTCCTGGAGAATTGTAATGGGCACTCACGGCAATTCCAGGGTGGTACTGCTGTACTCCGACAAAAGTGGTCGGAGTAAGATCCGCTCCAGTAAAGTTGACCAATTCCAAAATGTATAGCTTTCCACTCGGTGGAAAGTCGACGTTAGACGATGGCTCTTTCTTTTTTTGCATTCGTGCCGTTCGTGCGTCGCCAACTTATAAAGAATGAGTTCCGTGAGGTTGGACAGTTTCTGGTCGTGGTGGGGGAGGGGGGGAGGGGAAAAACGCGCTGCACTCGTGTCCACCTCTGGGTAAACTGTGCATAGACATCGTTGTCTGGAAGTTCAGTAAACGGCGGGGTAAAGTGTGGGTATTATAGTCGCCCTTCTCGCAAAGTCTTCGTGGCGTAGGCGCTGTGTGTGTGTGTGTGGCCCGTATTAATTTAGCGCTGGAGGTAGTTTGCGTCATGAGTTAAAGGGTCATGAGTGCAATCAGGCGACTCTTCCTCTTGCTGACACTTCTGTGGATGGTAGCGCCTCTTCGTGGCTTGCAGCGGCGGTGTGACATGAACCCATTACTTGCGATGTATACAAAAGAAAGAAAAAAAACACATCGCTTCTTCCACATGATTCAATGCTTGTATCGTGAGATTTAGAATCTGTATTAATCGACAAATCGGTGCATAGTTTCACCTCCTAATCAATGATGTTACGTCGGCGAATTCCTAACGGTTGCACGCAGTGGAACATTTGTGAACGGGTACTGCTTGTCCCGTGCAATGATGCAGCAAGTCCTGTAGCTGTTGTGTAAACATAACCCAAATGAATTTGAGCATTGTGTTATTGAAGCGTCTGTGCATCCAACTCTCAAGCCAGTGGTGGTTGCATGCCGTACACAAAACTTTGCAGACTGGTAAGACGTTACATCGGTAGGCTCTGTGGCCTTAAAGATAAAGCCATTTGCTATATACGGTACATCTCATCGGTGGACTGCAATGCCATTGTAGCATCATAACAAATCCACTGTAGCGGTATGGATAACGTGCGATGTGGGGCTCTTGCCAATTAAGACCTTCGCCGTTTATTTTTGTTCAATGCTTTATTCAGTGAGGGGGGTTCTCCTTGAGGTTTTTAGTGCCCAGAGAAAACGAAGCCCTGTGGAATGGAACGCTTGGGGCTGATTCAGCAGAGGGGGGGGGGCAGAACCCCATTTATTTTTCACGACCAAAACAACTGTACCAATTTTACAACTTGTTAGGTGAATTATATTTGTTTTCAACATTCAAATAAAAAATACATGATTGAATAATGGGGGGGGGGAGCTCACCATTGAAAAAAGTAAATTCTCACGCACATTCCAATGCTGTGGTATTTACAGTACCAGACTGAGACTGTCTGGAATTTTTACGCTTCTGTGCGGCGTGGAGACGCGGTGAACAACAAAGCAGCATGGCTTTGCGGTGTTTATTTTTTGCCATTCGGGGGGTGCCATTTTTTAAAAATTTCTGTCGCTCAATGTTCACGAGTTCGTCAGCCGCCCCTCTCTGTGATATACAACAACGGTCCCCAACCTTTTTGCCACCAGGGACCGGTTTCGTGGAAGACAATTTTTTCACGGATCTTGGGAGGGGGGGGGGTCATCATTGGGTCTTTCTCCCTTTTCAAAGAAGCTCTCCAGCGACGTTTGTTTTTGACTCATTTTGGCTACCGTTAGCGGTCCGTGGCCCCGGGGTTTGGGGACCCCTGATACAGCACACAGAATACCCACTCACGCTATGTTGATGATACGCAGATCAATGGTGGCCAATCCACCAAGCGCCGTGAAGATCCATTCTGGTGGATTCCACCGGAAGGCTTTAGACCAACAACGACCCGCAAATATAACCCTGCAATATACTTCAGTGTTTTTCCACTAATAAGGGGGCCCACTTTTGCCGAAGAGACATCGTCAGAGCGAGGGCCGCCACACATTTGAAACCATTGGGGGTTGACAGCAGCACGATGATGGCGGGGTGTTTTGAACCTTTGTGTAGTGTCGGGGCCCCCACTAAATGCCACTAGGGGTCACCAGTGGCCCGCGGGTCTCGCACTGAAGAACACCGATGGACACACACAAAGTATTAGCGCCCTCTATTGGTAGGCATTATTTTTAAAGCATTAATTGTTGGGGATAATTTTTTTGTTGATTTGCCGTCACCCGAAACGAAAAATGTTTGTTCGCTTATGTTAGCGTTCTGATGTGTCCTCAGAGCGAGACAATAGTGTTACCATCCATCGCCGGATGGCGCTCCACGTATTGACCGCCACTGCTGTAGAGTAACGAACAACTGAACTCGACAGAAAACAACAAAAACATTCTGAAGCATTTGGAAATACCACCGTTTATCTTTCTGGGGGTTCTCGGTCAAAAATAGTTTTTGTTTTGTTTTCGTAAACCCAACCTCGGCTCATGTGCATGAGTAAGGACTGGCCGACCGTGGTCATTGCTGGGTTGAAGGGAGCACATTTTGTGTCGTCTCCCGCCTGGTACCAGACTTGGCCTAGGTGCCCCTGCCCACCAAAGGTCCTTCGGTGTTTAATGGTCTCCAGATGTTTTTTTTTACACCACGTCAAGAATATGTCCTCTTGCAGAAGAAAGCAATCCGCTGTTGGACGAACGAACGCCTCTCCATGCCGTCTCTGTCATGCACTCCGATTGGCTGATTCGTGTAGGGGTTGGGCGTGAAGTGATTCCACTGTGATTTAAATTGGCATAGTAGCCAGGAGGCTACACACTTACGTGCTTTATTGATTTGTCCGAGAAAGGAAGGAACCCATGAGCCTTGACCTCTTTGCCTGCCGTCCCCTGCTGTGCATGCGCTTGCCAGTTCCTATACGCCACTTAAATTGGGGCGTCACGGTGGCGAGATGTTTACTACCTCGCCCGGTATACAGGAGGTCGTGGGATCCCGACCCTGCTGTATATTTGGAGTTTTGCATGTTCTCCCTGTGGTCGCGTGGAGTTCTCTCCGGGTCCTCCCGGTTTCTTCCCTCCGCATTTATAAATGAACATCACGCGTCTCGCGTGTACATTTGCACGCGACAAGCCACTTGGTTGAGTTCTCACTTGCGGCCAGGTGTCCCCCACCTTGCAGGCTTGCACGCCACCAATGTATACATCCCCACCCGCCACCACTGCTCCCTGCACTCGTGGTTTTCTCTGGGCACTCTGGTTTCCTCCCACGTACCAAATACTTAATAATCGAATTCGTCAAACATTCCCATGTCCCGATCCTCGTGGAAGAAAAGAAAAAAAAAAACATTGGCGATACCTTCAACTTTTTGATCGGTTTCACTCGGAGGGACGGGGTCAGCCTAAGGTTCTTAAACTGTTTCGTGTCGTGTGCTAGAAGCTTAAGAAAATATATAGGCTCCCATAGTCGGTTAACACAAGTCATGGCTGATGCTGAAGATACAGCCAAAACAATGGGGGTAATTCCATAGAAGCCACGATAAAACATTGCAACAGTTGTTAAATTAAATTTCAGTACTTAATTGAAAAAAAACCCAGTAGCAACACCGCACCTACTTGGCAAATTATTTTCAGCCCGGGTGCTGTGTACTTCTTGTATCGTACAGGGACAGCTGTCGCTAAGGGTGTCCTCGGCTCGACTGCAGCAGGGCATCAATATGCGATGTAAGGCGCTTTGGGTTGCTAAGGCATTGCCTAGAAATGGAAATCCTTATCCTTGAAGCAGACATAGCCTACTACCGGATACTCGTACAATGAATACATGATGAAATAATAATGTATAATGACTGCTACAGTGGAAATGAATGTACACAGTATGGTTGGCCTTTTGTGGCCTTACAAGTTATGAAAAAAAAATCGGTGGCATATGCCCGTTTACACTGAAATCTACATTCCGTCCCGGTTGTATTTAATAAAGGACTGCACAAGGTTCAACACGAGGGCTGGCACGTGTGCCTACCAAAAGAGGTCCCCCTCTCTGCCTGCTCGTGCACCACACACACACACACAGTTGCATCCCCCCTTGCCTTGATGATGTACATGCTGCATTTACAAATAAAACGTGTATACCTGTGCCGTGACCCATCTCTGTTCAAACTTCTTTTTTTTAACTCTTACACCCTTGACAAGATCGTGCGTTTAAACTGCAGCGGGACTGTGGCCATGCAACCTAAACTACGGACCGTATCGTAAACTATCGCAGTCTGTGCTCTCCTTCAATGGGTGAATAGCAAAACTACACGAACTCTCTCCTCCATTCCTCTCGTGGCCAACAGACCTCGACATTGGCATTGAGCTCGTGGACATTTTGCCGTGAACATATTGCCGTGAACCAAGGCCGTAGTCATAGTCAGCATTGGGGGGGACGAAATCTTCCAGGGGGTCTGGGGGTCCCCCCCCCCCCCCCCCCAGAAAACGAATTTCCTGCCTAAAATAAAAAAATAACTAACATATAGGATGGACTTTTTATTTATTTTTTACAATAATGTCAAATAGTGTATTGTATTACATTGCTCTGGTTTTTTTATTTTTAACATTTTCTTTTTCATTGTATGTAATGGCAGAGATTATGGATTAATAAAGTACAACCATAACCACAATCATATAAACAAATCTATTTTATAGCAATATATTTGGGGGGGGGGACATTTTTAGCATATTTGAATATTGGGGGGGGGGGGGTGTTTCTCCCCTCCCCCCTCAATATATATTATAATTACGGCCTTGCTGTGAACATTGCCGCCGTACGCGAGGATAGAAGAGAAATGCAATGAAAATAAAATAATGCTCGCCAGACTTTGCCATCCCTTTCGGCCTTACGTGCGTTGAACTTCTTTTGCACCGTACGTAACCAACCGTGCTAATCGGAGGCGCGCGGGGGAAGGACAACAAACCAAACACAAAAAGCAGTTTCTAAAGAAATGAGCTTCCAATCTAGATGATTTAGAAGTGCACAGCCCCATTGGCTTCCTAAAGTCGGACGCAAGAGCGTTCCAGACGGCCGCAGAAGCGCATCTGAAAGCGCGCGATGCGTTGACCCCCGTCTTTGTTCGATGGCTGTAGCCAGAAGCCGCCGCTGCTGCTGCTGCTGCGAGGATGAGCGGAGTTCGTGCGATGGCTCGTGCTTGAGATCAGCAAGGCATCGTGTGGTTCATTTGAGGCAAGCACTCGGTGTGTAACGAGTTGCCACCTTACAAAGTATCCGGCAACCAGAAGCCCACGGCAGCTCGGCGAGCACTGGGCGGGCACGCTCGGACATCGCAGTACCCGTCACGACACGTGCCCTTGGTAATGTGTTTTTTGTCAGACGTCCCGTAGAGGAGGCGTGGAGTTGTAATTACTGCTGCACGCGCGCTGATCTCATCACGGCACGCCAACCATGGGGGTTGATTGACCCAGTGCCGGTTTATCCCAGTAGAAAAAGTAGCTACATATGTATAGCTACATATGCTATGGGCCCCGCATTTTCAATGGCCCCGCGCTAAATGCTGTCAAGCTATCAATTCCGGTTCACTTGCTCTATTACTATAGTACTATACTGCCTTCAACTTTTATGAATGACCGAGTGTTTAATGTTAGCGATTTGTCGTATTATCTGGCTGTATAGCAAATGAAAAAAATACCAATACTTTACTATGCAAGTTAGACAAATGTGTTTTAATATTTACGTGTTTTTAAATTTTATTTCGGGTCCCCTTTATTACATATGCTATACGCCCCGCACGAGCTTAATCCTCCGGCACCGAGTATCGTGCCGAAGGTCTGTCCACGATAAGGCAAAAGGAACAAAAACTGTACAATATATAGAACTATACAGACAACCCTTTGTCAAACCACTGCTGGACGATGCCCAGTGCTTTTTTTAAGTTTACTATGCTCTAAGTCTTTGTATTCGCTAGCCGCGCCTGATTACTCAACGCGTCCCACGCGGAGGAGCGAGCGCTCTGGGGCCATCCATTGAGTCCACAAAACTTGAGCCCCCCCCTCCCCCAACCTCCCTGTACGCACGCGGACTTTTTTACAACACCCCCCCCCCTCCCCCCAAATCCTATAGAACGTCCGATATTTAATCCACGCAGAAACGATCAAGGATGAATAATATCCACGTGTTTAAGCAAACAGTCCACCGCCGGACTATCTAACTAATTTGAAGGCCAATGTAGACAAATTATTATCGAGGCTTCATCCCCCCCCCCCTCCGTTTCCTATGCGTACATAGTCAGTAGACCTCCCATATGCAGGCGTACGCGTTTGGGTTAATCCCCCTCCCCCCTCCATGCGTACGTACTAATTGGATGGCCCCTATCGACACGGGATGCAGGTGTTCGCAGCCAATACGATTCGTGATCGATATTGGGTTTATATACTCTTTGGTTCTATTCGGTAAAGTCACGTCGGTAAAAAATAAAATAACAAAAATCACGACGTTTTGGCCATGAAGGCCACGTGTGTTGTGGCCGAAACGTCGTGATTTTTGTTATTTTATTTTTTTACCTACGTGACTTTACCGAATAGAACCAAAGAGTATGGATCCTTGCACTCACGAAAGCTTCAAATCTAGAATCGATATTGGGTTTGTTTAAAAGCAAGGGGAGGCGGCAACCTCCGGCTCTTTCAGGAACCCGCTTCGTGACGTTACTGACGTGCACTGGGGGCTCTTGAAATAGAGAGAGGTGGGTTTTTTTATTTATTGTTTTACCGATCGATAAAATAATGGCCCCGTCTTGTTATTCTGTTTGCTGATCCCGTGGGGTGAAAGTAAGCTCGACTCGGCCGATGAGAACCGCTGCATGTCGAAACCGGCACAGGCGTTTGCTCGAGTCGAGCCAACGGCGCTGACGAAATCCACTCCGGCATTGAAGCGTGGCTGGGTAGCGAAGGAGGGTTGGGGGGGGTGTGGAGAGGAGAATGATGGGAAGGAGTCCGATGGTCAAAACTCGTCTATTTGGCCCACAGTAATCCACGAGGCAAATTCGTGAATATATTACGTGGTAAACCAGTGGGTCATCCATGGTGCAATTACGCCAGCAGATGGCAATGCTGTCGAGGCGATGGAACTTATCGCGGGGGCAGTGACAAGTCTCCTTCGCACACGTGTGTCGGGGTGATTGCCGCTCACCATTCTGCAGGCCGGTAAGTTCACCTTATTGTCAACAGGGGGCAGAAGCGTCACCACGCCTCGGCGAATGCCCATGGGCCAGAAAGGGGCCAACGACAGACCCCAGTAAACGGATCCTAGGACACATTCCCCATTCTGGACCATCCTGGAAGGTGACATCATTCCCCCGGTTCCCCCCCCACCCGCCCGGGTCCAACATGTCCCCCCTACGTACATCGTGATAATTTTTTTATGCGAATTCCTTTGTCAAGGCGCTGTGTTTCCTCCCACACAGCTTCAAGGACACGCACGACCTGGGCTTGGCTGTGTTCACTCCAACGCTGTCCTCTGGACAGTCCGGTCCCTTCACCTGATGAAGGCCACTTGTGTTGTGGCCGAAACGTCGTGATTTTTTGTTGTTTTATTTTTTTACCTACGTGACTTTACCGAATAAAACCAAAGAGTATGGTCGAGAATGTTCCAGAAGGAAGGCGTGGCTAGGGCGGGGGTAAGCCACGAACGAGTGTATAAGCCAGGGCTCTGAGAGCTCTGGCTCAGTTATCTACACGCTGAAGACTGAAGACCGGGCTGGAGAATAGGACCCTGGACCCCAAGCTCTGCAGCCCTTCCGAGCTCAGTGAGGCCAGTGGTAAAAGAGGCCAGTGGTCAGGACCCACGGACCAGGAGGGTCGGGTCAGATAGCCTCCCCTAGGTCCCAGCCGGAGGACGATAGGGAACGGGTTACCCAGTGATAGGTCCCGTATAGCCCGGAGGCCATACCTCCCCAGGTATCGGACCGATATACCGTGTAGTAGAGACATATCGTGCTGCCTCGTAAGAAGTTTATTCGCCAATATATACAACACTACACGTGGATCGGGCGTGACAACGTAAAACGTTACACAATGCCCCCCCCCCCATCCACAGACATCGCAGCGATACACTCCGTTTGCTCAGGGTCACCTGGGCGTGACCACCTGCATGTGAACCTGTGGGCCGTTGCTCTGCAACTACACCAGCAGGCGTGCAGAAGGAGGAGAACAAGACCACTTTCTTTCAGAATGTTTGAGCAAGCCGAAGGTAGTGAAGGGTAATCGCCCCCCCCCCCCAACGTCGCCTTTTAAGAGTATAGTATATGTGTTCCCCCCTTTAAGGGTATTGTTGACGAATGTTGTTCACAATAATGGGCGTATGAAGGCAAAAAGTCGAAGTGATATCCGGCTCAATTGAACATTCAGGCAGTGCTAATCTCCCGTTTACAGCCCACGAGCCAGTGGTGGAAATTCCACGTTGCAGTGGCGGGGGTGAGTCTATCCATAACAACAATCACTGGTGACTTTCCTCCGTCAACGATGCTCACTTTAGCGACCCCGGAAAAATGATGGGGTGGTGAATGAAACCCCTCCCAAGCGAGGATTTGAAACTCGCAACTTAGTGGTTGCGTGTCGCTCGCTCTGCCACTGAGCCATCTGGCCCGCGTGTCCAGGAGAGCTGGAAACCATTCAAATTGACTCTTATTTTAACCTTCGCGTGAATGGGTAGCACTCAAAGTGTCTGCATGGGTCACAATAACCCACCGCATGCAGCAGCGTATGTGAATACAAAAAAATAAACGATTCTTTTATACGTAATTTGATGCATGTATCCAGAGCTTAAGAATGAACAATAATTGTCAATCGGTCAATGTAGGAGTCACTCGCTTACTGCGGGCTCGGTTTGTGCGATTTCACGTACATGCGGCTAACCTATTTCTACCCAAAATTCCCTCTATGCGGGTTGAAGTCACTCAGATGCGGACGTGGGACAACGTTTTGTGTGTACTGCGTGTGTGTACTGTGTGTGTACTGTGTGTGTAATGTGTCTAATGAACTGTGTGTGTGTACTGTGTGTGTACTGTGTGTGTAATGTGTTTAATGAACTGTGTGTGTGTACTGTGTGTGTACTGTGTGTGTGTACTGTGTCTAATGAACTGTGTGTGTATACTGTGTGTGTACTGTGTGTGTACTGTGTCTAATGAACTGTGTGTGTGTACTGTGTGTGTACTGTGTCTAATGAACAGGGTGTGTACTGTGTGTGTACTGTGTCTAATGAACGGTGTTTGTGTGTACTGTGTGTGTACTGCGTGTGTACTGTGTCTAATGAACTGTGTGTGTATACTGTGTGTGTACTGCGTGTGTACTGTGTCTAATGAACTGTGTGTATACTGTGTGTGTACTGTGTGTGTACTGTGTCTAATGAACTGTGTGTGTGTACTGTGTGTGTACTGTGTCTAATGAACGGGGTGTGTACTGTGTGTGTACTGTGTCTAATGAACTGTGTGTATACTGTGTGTGTACTGTGTGTGTGTACTGCGTGTGTACTGCGTCTAATGAACTGTGTGTATACTGTGTGTGTACTGTGTCTAATGAACGGGGTGTGTGTACTGTGTGTACTGTGTCTAATGAACTGTGTGTGTTCTGTGTGTGTACTGTGTGTGTGTGTGTACTGCGTGTTTACTGCGTCTAATGAACTGTGTGTATACTGTGTGTGTACTGTGTCTAATGAACGGGGTGTGTGTACTGTGTGTGTACTGTGTCTAATGAACTGTGTGTGTATACTGTGTGTGTACTGTGTGTGTACTGTGTCTAATGAACTGTGTGTGTGTACTGTGTGTGTACTGTGTCTAATGAACGGGGTGTGTACTGTGTGTGTACTGTGTCTAATGAACTGTGTGTGTACTGTGTCTAATTAACTGTGTGTGTACTGTGTGTGTACTGTGTCTAATGAACTGTGTGTGTATACTGTGTGTGTACTGTGTGTGTACTGTGTCTAATGAACTGTGTGTATACTGTGTGTGTACTGTGTGTGTACTGTGTCTAATGAACTGTGTGTATACTGTGTGTGTACTGTGTGTGTACTGTGTCTAATGAACTGTGTGTGTACTGTGTGTGTACTGTGTGTGTACTGCGTCTAATGAACGGTGTTTGTGTGTACTGTGTGTATATTGTGTGTGTACTGTGTATTTTAAATGGTGTGTGTACTGTGTGTGTAATGTGTCTAATGAACTGTGTGTATACTGTGTGTGTACTGTGTGTGTACTGTGTCTAATGAACTGTGTGTGTACTGTGTGTGTACTGTGTCTAATGAACTGTGTGTGTATACTGCGCGTGTACTGTGTGTGTCCTGCGTCTAATGAACGGTGTTTGTGTGTACTGTGTGTAATGTGTGTGTACTGTGTCTAATGAACGGTGTTTGTGTGTACTGTGTGTGTACTGCGTGTGTACTGCGTCTAATGAACGGTGTTTGTGTGTACTGTGTGTGTACTGAGTGTGTGTACTGCGTGTGTACTGCGTCTAATAAACGGTGTTTGTGTGTACTGTGTGTGTAATGTGTATTTTAAATGGTGTGTGTACTGTGTGTGTCATGTGTCTAATGAACTGTGTGTGTACTGTGTGTGTACTGAGTGTGTGTACTGTGTGTGTACTGTGTCTAATGAACTGTGTGTGTACTGTGTGTGTACTGTGTCTAATGAACGGGGTGTGTACTGTGTGTGTACTGTGTCTAATGAACTGTGTGTGTGTACTGCGTGTGTACTGTGTTTAATGAACGGGGTGTGTACTGTGTGTGTACTGTGTCTAATGAACGGGGTGTGTACTGTGTGTGTACTGTGTCTAATGAAATGTGTGTGTGTACTGCGTGTGTAATGTGTCTAATGAACTGTGTGTGTGTACTGTGTCTAATGAACTGTGTGTGTTTACTGTGTCTAATGAACTGTGTGTGTATACTGTGTGTGTAGTGTGTGTGTAATGTGTCTAATGAACTGTGTGTGTACTGTGTGTGTACTGGTTGTGTACTGTGTGTGTACTGTGTGTGTACTGGGTGCCTAACTCAACCGGCAGCTGTCTCGTGCGGTGCATTGTGGCTTGGGTGACTCTGCGGTCCACCCTTTGCGAATTCGCTTTATGCGGCCCGTTTTGTTTTTGGGGGGTGGGGGGACGCATCTACTACCGCATCGAGAAAGGAACACCTGTACATTTGTACATGCCGAGTACTCTAATTCAGACAATCCGCGCGCTCTTACTGTAAGTCTAGATTGAATACTCGTTTCGTTTGAATTTTTTTTTGTGTTTAGTTTGCCCCCCCCCCCCCACCACCCCGGCACCTCCGATTCGCACCGTTGGCTACGTACTGCGCGAAAGAAGTTCAACGTGAGTCTACAATTCAGCATCGTCGACTTTCCACCTGCACATCTAATGGAACTTATACTGGTAGGAACCTCCTGGTTACACCAGCCCACAGGGGATTATTGTGTCCGTCCGTCCGTCGTGCATCCAAACATGGGAGGGGTGGGGCTGGGTGGAGAGGGGAGGGTGGGGAGGGAGGGGCTGGGTGGGGAGGGGAGGATGGGGAGGGGAGGGTGGGGATGGTGGGGCTGAGTGGGGGGTGGGAGGTGTGGGGCTGGGTGGGGAGGGGCTGCTCACCCCGTGGTGCCCTTATAAAACTCAACGTTTAACCTACTCACACCGGCTTGTGCCCGCCCTCACAGTCGGGCATCTTTGCGGAATACACCACGTGGTGCCGCATGTTGACCCTGGCCATTGACCGAGCAACCCAACGGTCCTACCAGCTCCCTCCGCAGGAGAATGTGTTTGCCCTGTGCAACCCATCTCTGGCACTACGATGGGTGGAATTACAAATGAATAATTTGCCGGGACCCCGGGGTCCCGCAAAACTCAGGTCAATAATTATTATTTTTCAGTCCGCCCCACTACGTGATCCCGACAGCAACGCGCCGCCCGCCCAGACTCGCCGTGCCAACAAGCGCCAGCAGCAGCAGCAGCAGGCGGCGATCGACACGATGGGCGCCACCCCCACCGGCCAAACGCGAGCCCCGGGGGGCGTCCGCCGCAGTCGCGCGCGGCGACGACGACGCCCTCCGGTCAGCCGTCGATCCTCAGCTTCTTTGCCAAGGCGAGCCCCACCCCCCAGGCAGTGAATTTAACGTGTTTATGTAACTTTTCAACTTTTTACGAAACTTAGTGCCCCAAGTAGCTCTCGACGAGGCTAATCGATTGACCACTAGCATTGTTGTCGGTAAGGCAAGACTCGTGTCGCTACGTGGGGTTTCCCCCCCCGGGGCAGTGATGGGACCCCGGGGTCCCGCAAATTGCTTCAAATGTTGGTGTCCCGCCAAACCATCTGGCTGGCAACAGTACAGCTTTGATTAAGTTAGCCCCCAACATTATATGGATATATTTTTCCGTTGCATGTCAGGTGGCTCTTACACAACGATTTAGAAACTCAAATTCGCACTCCATTCGAGAAGACGATGTTTGTTGGTATGGAATGTGTTAATGTTTGAGTGCGCTACGGTGATGTGTGATGCGTCGGCTTGATGTCAGGCTTTTAATAAGATGACGTATGTTCAATGGTTTAATGCTGCATTATGAATGTTAACGATACGCTGATGTGTAATGTGTAAACGTAATAATGACAAGCGCTTCGGAGTGGTTCGCCAGTGTAAATGTGATTACAGCAAATTTGGTAGCCGACACGTTTCCCCAATATTTTCACACATCACTCGCCACGACCTCTGCGCGACAGGGCTCCAGCCGCAGCGCGTTTGCCGCACGTTGCAACGGGTTTCCGCGGCTCGAACCCTACGGCCGCCCCCCCCCCCCCCCAGTTAATACTGCGGGGGCGTGGGACGTGGATACACGCCGTCCGATTCAACGTTGGACGCTCGATGAATCCGGTGGCGATGTTCGAGAGAGCAGGGAGCCGTGCGCGCCAAGTGTTGTTGATTATTTGCTCGCAGATTAACTCAATCGGGATAACATCTCGCACGACGTAGTCGCTGCCGCAGGCCGTGCCCTGGCCTGACTGGATGTGCTTCACGTCATGTTTTTTCAGGTTTGTTGAATTCTCGTCTCTCATCTTTTTGTTGTATTTACTTTGTGTGTGTCCTCGCGCCGTCAGGATGGCGTGAACACCACACGCCACGTGTGGTGTTCACGATGTGCAATGCACTCACGTCAGCGGACACAATTATCCGATTACAAATACACCGGGGCACTTGATTGTTAGCTCAATGTGAGCTTTATTTCTACATTGATACACCGTTGTTATTTTTTTTACAGAACTGGAAACTTTGCAATTATGCATTTAAAAATTCGTTAACAAGACTTGTTAACACATTTGAGCATTCTAAAGACATACACTGAGATGCACATTCAATGTGTAATGTATAATATAATTTTATGTTTTTATATACAATTTGTATACATCATCGAGTATTGCTTGTAATACACTGTACCTAATGCAAGGAATATGTTCACAATCGTTATACAAGGCAATGTTTCTCAAGCTCCAGTCCACTGGTTGAACCGGAATCCAAGGTTCCATGTTTTCAATCAACTTATAAATGAGCCGTGATCCGTGTTTGCCATATATATACTGAGTGGAACAGATGGCAATTGTAAAAATCTGGTCAGGATCGGTGGCTCTGGGGACTGGGGTATGGGAGCCAATAATAAAGCATCATCGTGATTATTTTTGTATTTAATTTCTCTGACCAAAAATTACACGTTTGTTCCCAAGTTCGTGAATATCTATTAAGACACTGACATGGTGCTTATCATTTGTAAGTTGTAATAGGATGGAACGGGCACTTATAAAGTGAGGGAAAAAACATATATTTTTTCCAGGGATTCAACCAAACTTTGAATTTGCCAGTTTTACTACTCCTAGCCAGCCGGACGTCAGAAAAAAATACCATGCAGGTGACTGAACTGTAAATTCACTGAACACTCAACACTGACACTCGTTGAACGGGAAGAAATTCCGTCGTCAGCAACGGTCAGTCATTACAATCAATGAGAGGTTTGACGTTGCTCCCCTGCCGCGTTCGCCCACCACGCGGGGATGGTGGTCATAGCCTGGAGATGAAACATCGCTAGCTCGGGAGAATTCTGCAATGCACACGCGCAAACTTCAACGCGCGGAACAACACGGACGCTCGAGTGAAGTTGACGGTGACATGTTTAGGATGTTTACGGTATCGCAATAGTGAATGAAAAGTTTTCCGTTTAAACAAGTGATTTTAATAGCTTAGGTATTGGAAGTTTAACACTTGCACTGCAACACCACGCGCGCGCGCGCGCATTCTTTTCAATGTCAGACGCTAAAAGGTAATACGCGTGCAGCAGCAGCAACAACAACAAAATGTTGTAATTGCAATTTTAGAAAAAACTATCGAGCCGAGCGTTATAATAATAGTAATAATAAGTTATCAGCACCGTACGGCGAGCCAGTCAAATTACACATCCGCAGCTGTCTCCACTTCCAATTTGGTCAAAACGAACAGCTCTCCATCAACCGCTCCGAACTCTTTCGGTCCACGAAATTGTGACGCCGCGTCGCACGTTGAAGGCACGCGGAGCCACGGCGCGTCGCGCACAATCGTTGCCTTCCCGCGGGGCGAAACATTCCAGTGCCCCAAAGCAAACACAAACTCTTCCGTGAGACCCAATGAACACACGGGCCCGCCGCGGAGAGACGATTTGCAGGATCGACTGCTTAACTGCCCGCGGCGCTTGCGGTGATTTCCTTCCAGCGTAGTTGGGTCGAGCAATCATAAATTACGATTTAAATGAAAAAAAACACTAACTAACTAACTAACGAAACCCATCACCTTTGGCACTCTCTATAACATTAACAGTGGGAAGTAACATTCCGTAAACCGCTTTAATATGTATACACACACACACACGTATGCATGTTAACAAGTGTAAATGGGAGCCAGTCAAAAGTTCTTAAAAAAAACCATGCCAACAATATGCAGACCCACTACATTACTGATATAATATATTTTAAATGTCGTAGGTCTAACATCAGAGTATTGATTAAATACGAAGTGCAGGTTTTTGTTATACCTTTCAACATAATTCTGTAGATTGTGTTCGCGTGACTGGCATTTGGCTGGTCCTCATTTCTCATCGCTAGTGAAGTACACGTACAGGACTGCATGTGATCTTAAACGTGTTTCATTCAGCTGTCTGCTCTTACAGTATACATACCACTCCATTCGAGTACTCCTGTCGCTACAAAGATTACATTTATTCATCTTGATCACTCGAGTTATATTTCGCTAAAGGAATGTGGTTATTTGGTTGTCTTTTGCCCATCTGTAGTTAGTTAGTCCGCTAAGGAGTTTCTGTTTTCTTGAACATGCGGCTTTCTTGTATGTGTGTTGTTTTTAACATTTTGTTTCACTGTAGATTTCTTGCCCAGTTCAGCAGTTTGTTTGTTTCTAACTGTTGTGTCCCACATGATGATGGGCACTTGTGTTGCGCCCGAAACGTCGTGATTTAATTTAGTTTGTTTAAATTTTTGTTTTATTGTATTTTTACCTACGTGACTTTACCGAAAGAACCAAAGAATATTTTTCCACAGTTTATCAATGCACTGTTTAAACAGAAGAGCAATGGCGCCTATTACGAAATTCAAAAGACGTCGATTGGCTCTTGTGGACATTATTACGTATAGATTGTTGACATCGATACAATTTTCCAAGGATCACATTCAGACGTAGAGCTGCCTCTTGCGAGTGCTATCCGGTAATAACCCAAAAAGATTTTTGTTACTTCAAATTGTAAAAAAAAAACCACACGTTATACCTGGAATTCATTATCTCTTTGATTTCCCATACATGCGTTGGTTGCACACGTACACAACTGTCATCGATATAAACGTAAGCCTTTTGTCTATTGCACAGCTACGTCAGCCTGTGCCAATTCGCACACGGCTGCGATGTTTACGGCATAAACGGGACGTTTCAGAGACAGAACCCCAGTGTAACTTGAAGCCTCCAGGTCTCCCTTGCAAAAGAGACGTGAACTGTGTTTCTCCGGATTATAAGACTCCTCGGAAAGTAAGACGCACCCCCCAAAACTTGTGCCCGGTGCCAATAAAAGTTATACGAATCTGATCACGCACGCACGCACGCAACTCCTGTACCGGATTAGAAGACGCACCCATCAACTTCTGCAATTAGAATACTCTACTGCACGGGGGGCTAAAGAGCTTCTCGTCATACGGAAAATTGGGTGGCATCAATGGGCTCTTGCCAAGTTCCAGATTAAGTTGCCGGTGGCGGCCGCATCGATGATGTTGCAATTCGGTATCGGTTGTCCGAGGGGATCGAAGGATTGAGGTCTTAATTTTCTGCTCTGCGGCAGATTTTTAAATAGCCGCGTTGAATTAGCGAGCGGGCGGGGTTGGTCCGACATTACTTCCGGATGTTTCCCGAAATGTGTGTATGATGTTGAACTTCTTTTTTCACCATACGTAGCCAACTGTGCTTTTCGGAGGTGCGGTATTCACGTTGCTTTTTGTGTTTCATTTCTTGCCCTTCCCTCGCACGTCTGATACTAGCACAGTTGACTATGTATGGTGCGAAAGAAGTTCAACATACACACGTAACGTACAAATCCCACAGTGTGTGTGTGTGTACAGTATTAACAGAGGCTTTGCAGCTGCCCCCATCACCGGGCAAGTTCCGTGCGTGCGGACGCGCGTACGTGAGTGCGTGCGTGCGGACGTGCGTACGTAAGTGCCGCCCTTGCGTCTCCCGCATGCCGTGACTCTGACGTCGTTTCGTCGGCAGCGGGGCCCCTGATCTCACAGTCGCGCCGAGTGAACCAACGCACGCAGGAGTCTCCGGAGCATTGGAAAAATGAGCCGGGCCCTTAGTGGCTATTGACGTCAAGCGTTTCGGTTTTGCTCCGTGTGCATCGCGCGCGGTCACACTCAAGCGTGACGGAAACAAGTTGCCATTCCCACGTTTAAAAAAAAACAAAAACTAAAATCTCACGCCCCAAAAAACGCAGCCTCGCGCGCTGAGGTTCAAGCCAAGGGTGTGCTGCGTTGTCACCGACCATTCGGAACGAGCAGCGGAATGAGCCTACAACAGCGTTCTTCCCCCCCCCCCCCCCTCCCCTCCAGTTTGAGCCCACTCTTTTGCGAATTAACAATAATTAATAAATACGGCTTTCGAAACAAAACAACAAAACAAAACAATAACAACAACAGCAGTGCGGACAATTACCAGCTCGTCGGGAAATTTGCTTTTTTGTTGTTGCTGGAATTGCCTAAATTATTCAGAGCAGCAATTAACGCTGATGAAAGTCTTCAAGTCTGCACGCCGGACGTCTTCACACTCGGCTTTTGTCTCTCTCGCGCCGATCTGCCACCGACAGCGAGCTTCAAGGGCAAGTGGAGGTGCAACGACCACTGCCGGCACGCTGTAAGACAACGAGCCCAGGCTCGCTCCCCTCTCTCTCTCCTCTCTCTTCTCCTCTCTCCTCTCTCCCTCGCAAACAACAAACGTTCCACTTATTCCTGCTGCCTTCTTGGCTGGTCTTAAGTGCATTAGAACGGGGAAATAAAATAACAACAAAAATCTACAATCCAAACGCTCCCACGTTCAGGTCCAGCTCGCTTGAACTGGGATCTGACTGCTATTGTAGCTTTGGTCCATCTAACGAATTATGCTCCAGCTTCCGACATTACCTTGATTAATCTGCTTAGATATTCATTAAAAGGAAAGTAATTGTTTTTCCTCCTCGTCATTGTCCTCCTCCTCCTCTTCCCATTCCGGTGACGATCCGTAAAAACACGGCATCCCCGTCGGGTCGACACGGCGTGAACGGAGGTCGCACGGTGCCGGGGGGGGGGGGGGGGGTCGAGTCACCAACAACCCCCACGGACCGCAGAAGCCCCCCAGCACGGTTTTTCGCATCGGCGTCGGGAAAACAGTCACCGGACCGCCGACCTCGGCGAACCGAACCGCAACTCCCTCGAGCCTTAACCCTCCCCCCCCCACCTCCCGCTACCGGGCGGTTAGGAGGGCCCCCGATGAAAAAGGGAATCAAGATTTTCCTCTTGCAAGTCGGCGACGGGGCCGAAAGGAAGTGGAACGCTCGGCGCGGATCCGCGGCCAGGTCACAGGAACGCAGAGCCGTTGGGAGGGGCGTAGGAGAATCCGGCGAAGGCGTCCCTCGCCTCCTGGAAGCTGGCGCTCACCGCAAACTCTCCCGGGGAGCGGCACACCGAGCCGGGCACCGGCTCTGAGATGAACTCTGGGTCAAAGTGGCGCAGGTCGGAGGGTCCGTTCTGCACGCGGTAGGGGGGGTGGGGGTGAGGGGGGGGGAGACGCAGAGAATGATTATGAGCCCATGTTTGTCTCGGTCCTAAAAAAAATGGCGGAGTAAACGGCGGTCTAACTCCAGCCTGGAGCAGGGTGATGGGAGAAAATGTGAGTTAGTGAAGCGCACGATGTAATGTTGATGTAATGTCGATGTAATGTCGATGTAATGTTCATGTAATGTCGATTTATTGTCGATGTAATGTCGATGTAATGTTTGAGAAAGTGCACTGGAGGTTTAAGGCCTGGTCCATTGGCTTTGCTTCCCGATGGCCACCTTTCTCTGATACACGAGGACAATGTGACCGAATCTTGCAAGACGACACAAAGATGGCAGAGCAGCGCCCAGCAACGTCTGCCGGAAAGTGTTACCTTCAGTCAAGTGCCGTCAAGGGCAATGACATTCAATTAGTTCCAGGAATAACCGTTGTTCCGGGCCGTTAGCCATGTTGTCCTTCCCCATACCTCCGATTAGCACAGTTGGCTACGTACATTGCGAAAGTAATTATACGTAAATAAATAAGCCAAGAATACGATCTGGGTCTCCTCCATGACTTTAGTACTGTCATGCACAATTTTGAAAGCCCCAAATTAGGTTTTTAAATGCAATCGTTTTGTTGTTGTTGCTGCCAGCTGCTTGATCATTGAGCTCCGATGAGCTTGCTAGGACCGCTGCCCTAGCCCTGGTCTTTGTGATCACAATCACTGATGAGCACCGGTCATTGTAGCCGTTCTGGATAACTGAGGGACTCTTGCACCAGCGTCACTGGAGGGGGCCACTGAAGGGGGTCACCGGAGCGTGGCGTCGCTCCTGGTGGTTGGAGGCTCACCACGTTGGGGTTGAACGGGGGGACGATCTTCTTTGAGAGGAGATCTTCCCAGTTGATGGGGGAGAAGAACACGTGACCTTTGATCTCCGTCTGGTGGGGGGCGAGGGGCAAAGGGGCGTGCAAAATGAACAAAGTTCGATTGAAACATATTCTTGGTTCTTTCGGTAAAGTCACGTAGAAGGGAAATAATAAAATAAAAAACAATAACAATTCATGGCCGTTGTTTTATTTTATTTTATTATTTCCCTTCTACGTGACTTTACCGAAAGAACCATGAATATGAATCCCTGCAGTCACGAAAGCTTTAAATCGAAAGTTAGATTGAAAACTCGTTTCTTTAGAGCTGCTGGTTGGATACGTACGGCCCGAAATAATTTCGACGTACACACACGTACACACACGTACACACACGCGTACACACACACGTACACACACGTACACACACGCACACACGCGGAGGGGTGATCAGCCCAACCCGCTCGTGTGTTAACGTCCCTCCAGTTGTAGGAAGATGGAGAGAGCGTAAAATGGAAATATCCATGAAATGGGCTTAATGCATGAATATCCTCGCTGATAAGGCGACACCCCTGTGAAGGCAATGGGGAAGCGCTAAGACTTAATATTCAACGCCTGAGCGGCAGCAAACTCGAGTGGAATAATGGATTTAAAAAATCGTTCAAGTGTACAGAGGAACATGGCTCTTTTTTGAATTAGCAGTAAAGTAAAAAAATTACGGAATGGCCATGAATTGCAATACGGAGGGGGGGGGGAGGTGGGCGGGGGAAATAAACGACGAACATTGAGAATTCTCGAGTTAAGCGGCGATACGGCAGGGGGATCACTCCACGTGCACAACGCCCCCCCCCCCCGCGCAGTAGAGGGGGAAACGGGACGGAGCGTGCGCCGAACTTTTGAGCGCGAGTGGGTTGGCGGCGGCGTCTCTTACGAAGTCCCCGCTGGCGCCGAGCCTCTGGGTGCGGTCCTTGTGGAGCAGACCCTCCAGCAGGTCCCGCGCCGAGTTGGAGATGTTCGGCTTGAGAGCCAGGGGCTTCTTCAGGATGTTGTCGTACATCTCGGCCGTGTTGCGGCTGTAGAACGGCGGCTGAAACCGGGACGGGGAAAAGAAGCTCGAGTAAGTGTCGGCCGCCGCCTTCGTGGGTTTTGACCGAGGCGGGGCGTGTCAGGCCGCGGGACGGCGGTCGCCATCGCACCGACGCGTCTCATTGGTCGGTCAGAGACTGGCGGCGACGATGGCGACGACCCGCCCGCCCGCCCGCCCGCCCGCCGTGAGAATGCACGAAGCGCGATTCGCGACCGTCGATCGAGCGCTCACCAGGCCGTAGAGCATCTCGTACAGCACGGCTCCCAGGCACCACCAGTCCACCGTGCGATCGTACGCCTGCTTCTTGAGGACCTCGGGTGCCAGGTACTGTGGGGCGGGAGGGTCGGGGGGGGAGCGGGTGGTGGTGGAGGGGGGGGAAACGCTTTGATCGAAATAACGTTTGGTCGGGCAAGTGCGCAAAGAGACGATGTAGGGAGGGAAATATGAACACAATTTTTGTTGTGTTCTTGGTTCTTTCGGTTAAAGTCGCGTAGAAGGGAAACAATTAAATGATAAAAATATAAAACAATACAATTCTCACGACGTTTCGACTGCAACACAAGCAATCATGATCAGGTTTTCACACCTGATGATGATAATTTTATTGTTTTATATTTTTATTATTTTATTGTTTCCCTTCTACGCGACTTTACCGAAAGAACCAATAATATGAATCCCTGCAGTCACGAAAGCTTTAAATATTTTTTTTTGCTTTCTGTCTCAATTATAATCGATAATAAAACTGCATTTCATGAGGCTTCAGGTTTGGTCCCCCTCCAGAATTCACTTTTTACTTTCTGTGCAATGCCGCACTTTGTCCGTTAGGTGGGGCCCCCGCTCATCGCGACGAGCATGGTGAAACATTTCCATCAAGGTTTTTGTTTGGTTGCCCCGGGTCAAAAGGTGTTACGTCATAGATAAATACACACAGTACGTCGCTAATCATCAACAACAAATACATAGTTCCCTGGCTGGTTCCTTCCGGTCAAAATGAGCCCCCGACTAAAGCGCCGTGACTGGGAGAACGACGGGACAAATGACACCTCTGAGACGGAAGGACGGTGAGTGGTGACTTGGCCCGCACGCCACGCGCAACGAAGATCCCACCCACGCGTTCGGCTCGAGCGTTGGCTACGGATTTCTTTTCGGTTCGTTTAAATAACTTTCGTGTCCGAAGAGACACACAGACCCGGGACGCCATCGCTCACCTCTGGCGTGCCGCAGAAAGTGGAGGTGGTGTCGTTGGGCTGAATTCCCTCCTTGCAGAGTCCAAAATCTGTGAGGATAATGTGGCCCTGTCGAAGCGGACAAAGAATACGAGCGTCAAAATTGTTGCGCTGCTGTCTGAAGGACGCGCACACAATTTCACAACGCGAGCATCTGGGCGGGCGCGTGCGTGCGTGTGCGTGTGCGTGCGTGCGCTTGCGTCTCGTGGGTATACAAATATAAATAAGAGGGGAGCGGCGGAGTAGCGGTTAGCGCGCCACCCTGCGGACCCGGTGACCCGAGGTTCGATTCCCGCTCACGGCCAACACCAGTGACGATTATTTGAACCGGTCCCGGGAATTCCCCTAGGTCGACTCGGCCTCAAATAAATTCGGTGTAAAATATCGCCACTGGGCAGACAAAGGCGGCCGGGCGTGATGCTGGCCACCCACGCCCTCGTGTGCCGTGCCGGCCTTCATAGGTGCTCGCTAACAGCACACAGTATGTTAAGGCGACACGGGGGGGGGGGGGATCTTTGTCTTTTGTGCACACACTTGTGTCTTGTGGGTATAAATAAAATGCTAGAATTACCTCGAAGTCGAGAAGAATATTTTCGGGCTTTAGGTCTCTGATGGGGGAAGGTAAAACAGAAGTGGCGCATTTAGTCACACAAGGGTTTCCCCAAACGGATTGAGATCGTTTAAAACCAGAAGCCGCATCGCTACAAATAGCCTTCGGGATTGCATGTGATGCAATTTGCTTCAGTCGAAGTGGTTCTATCCTCAAATGAGCACTGGTAGCAGTTCGTCATCTCCTGCTTACAGCCCTGAACCATTCGTGTCAATTCCACATTTCTATTGTAGGTAAGCGAATCTATCCATGGGAATCACTGATGACTTCCCCACAAAACGGTACTTATGTTATAGACACGGACAGAACGATGGGTTGAGTCAACCCCCAAACCAGGATTTGAACTTGCAACCTTCCGATTGCGAGCAGCTGCTCGCTCTACCGCCCAGCCAACTGGGTGGCAATTAGGTCTTATATAAATTACACGGGTCTGGTTGGTGTGGAAAGACATGTTTACTGGCACAGGGACCAAACTCTGGCATTTGCAAAGCCACCCAACACAAGCCCTGCACTCAATACGCATTCAGGAAACTGCAAATTTCGATTTAAAGCTTTCGTGACTGCAATGATTCATCTTCTTTGGTTCTTTCGGTAAAGTCACGTAGAATGAGAATAAAATAATAAATTGATAAAATAAAATAACACAATAATATGCTCACGACGTTTCGGCCACAACACAAGCGGCCTTCATCGGGTGAAGGGACGAGACTGTCTGGAGGACAGCGCTGGAGGTTTTCGATTTAAAGCTTTCGTGACTGCAAGGACTCCAGCGCTGTCCTACCAGACAGTCTCGTCCCTTCACCTGATGAAGGCCACTTGTGTTGTGGCCGAAACGTCGTGAGAATATTATTGTGTTATTTTATTTTATCAATTTATTATTTTATTCTCATTCTACGTGACTTTACCGAAAGAACCAAAGAAGATAAACTGCAAATCGCCACCCCTACCATACACTAAAAATGGAATGATCCCATCACCTGCGCCCGGAGCATCGTGGGATATTCCACTGTGAACTTGGGTGATCTCACCTGTAGACGATGTTGAGCGAGTGCAGGTAGCCGACGGCGCTTGCGATCTCGGCCGCGTAGAAGCGGGCACGTGGCTCCAGGAACACGTGCTCGCGCTGCAAGTGGAAGAAGAGCTGGGACGACAAAGAAATCAAGAGCCACGTGAATAACCGGCACCGCAGCCATCGCAGTAACGTCACAGCGATCGTCAACTTAAGTTTCGCCCCAACGCAATTTGGGCAGTCGTCGACGCGGTTTTCCATCACCTGGCATTTTGTGATCTTCAAATAAATGAACCTGACTGCACCCAATCACATCCGATCCTGGAAGCCAAGCAGCTTTTGAGCCTAGTTAGTATTTGCCTGGCTATACCAGGTATTGTAGGGTTGAGCTGTGATGTGGCCAGAAAATAGCAGAGCTTTGAAGTGTTACTACCCTCGAATGTATGGCATTTCTCTGGCATCTGCGGTTTTCCCCCACATACCAAACATCGGATTGGCCAAAACATCCCATTTATTGCAGGATCCTCATGAAAAAGAGCATTGAGGCTCAGGATGTCCCTGGCATAATTGACATTCACAGGCATTGTGAATTAACAACAGCACCAGAGGAAAACTAGACATTTTATTTTATTTTATCAGGTAAGGCCCACTGAGCTATAAAGCTCTTTTTCACAAGCGACCTGGCCACAAATGATAGCTCCATGAAGTGGCTTACCGTGTGAAAATTTATAGCAGCCAAATACTCTAAAGGCATGTTTCTAAATGTGAGGGGAGAAACCGGAGGATCCGGAGAAAAATCCAAGCGACCATGGTGGGAGAGAGAGAGAGAGAGAGACACGCAAACTCCAAATATACAGCAGGCGTCAGGGTCGGGATCGAACCCACGACCTCCTGTATACCAGGCGAGGTAGTTAACATCTCCTAGCCACCGTGGCCAACAGGAGATGGGGATACTGTACCCCGTGTGCGTAACACCTGCGCATGGCAGAGCGTGGGCCGACTTCATTTAATCAAGGGGAGACGTTGCGCACGCGGTGGCGGCGAGTAAAAAAACGCCCACGCCACCAAACTGTGCCGATGATTCATCGTGGCATCGAGGCCGCTTCGATGCCGCGATGAGCAACTCCCGTCGCTACAAGCGCACGGAGAGCCTGAGCTCATGCGTGGCAAAATGTTCCTTTGCGTAATTATTCTTGGAAAAGTGGCGCGGTGTCTCCGTGACCGAAAATAGGACGGATCCCCGAGGGGATGCATGTGGGCTGTTATCGCGTAGAATTTCAATTTTTTTCACGGCTGGCTTTGGAATCCCTTGTACGTATGTGTGTATTGGGGGAACAACTTTCGCACCATGCGTAGCCAACCGTGATCACTTGAGGTGCGGGGGCAGGGCAAAAAATACTAAACGCCAAAAGCGGCTGTAAAGAAATTAGTTTCTGGATCTAGATTTAAAAGTGCATAGCTGTCGAGAGGAAAAGCATTCCAGATGGCCGCTTTCTGCATGCCTTTTGAGATGTTTCTCTCCGTGAGACTTCGTGTTACAATCTTAACATGGTTGTGGTAGCAACGCCGGGCATTGCACGAGTGTGGATGATGCAGGAATTTATATTATTTGGGTCTTTCGGTAAAGTCACGTCGATAGGGCTCAAAGAAAATAACAAAAAAACTACTACTAAATAACAAAAAAGTACTAGTTTTTTGGTTCTTTTCTTTGAACCTATCTACGTGACTTTACCGAAAGACCCAAAGAAATATGAATAGAAGAGTGGTTGGTTGTGGGTTCATGCCGAGTGAGTGTGTGGTGCACGGGGGAGATGGTGCCAAGAGGACATTTGTTCGACACCTAATCTGGTTCACAAAATGCAATGAATTTAGCTCATCTATGGGCTCCTGGAGTAGAACACTGGGCGAATGTGTCCGTCATAACCAAGCACGCAAGTTGAATGGATGTAAGTGTGCACATGTGCGTATTGCAATGTCTTGCCGAGTATTCATGCGTGTGTGTAATTAATGAATGAGGATTCCAAATCGACGTGAAGATATTTTGGCCGAGTGTGCTCGGTGATGTGACGCTGCTCCCAGAGCCAATGGTACGGGACTGCAATTCAAGGTCCCCATGTTTGAGAGTCACACACAGCACGGTGAAGTAATGCGAGCCGTTATCCTGGCTCTCAGCCATTTGAGGATCTATCGTCCAAAACGATTTCCAAATCTGTCCCCATGACCTCGGGCAGTCGAGCCTTCGCTGTGCGCTGACGTCAATCCGCATCACTTGCTAAATAAATATAAGCCGGGTGTACAGTACGTGTTGTGTGTATGCACAACGTAACAGGTGTGTACGTTGTGGGGGCAACTTTTGAACTTAACAATGACGGTAAACCTGTAAGAGACAGCTGCAGCATCTGCAAACCTTTCAACCCCTCATGAGTGCCCCTACCTTATGACAGAACCAATTCAGACCTTATTGGTCACCCCGTGCCCCTTATAAATCTCAACGTTGATCCTACAAAGTCCCCATCGCAAGGGAGAGAAACACAAACAAATAGACACATTCTTTTTGCCCGTATTGAAACGGCTGTACGCCGTACGGACCGGGAAAACTCAATTCCCCCGTGCACGAATACGGGGTGTACACCGTAAAGGGTTGACACGGTACGCATGTGCCCCTGCCAAGCCGAGGTGCGTTGATCCAGCGCTTCCCCCGCCCCCCCCCCCCGCCCCACCCCGACTAAGAGGCCCGCTTTACGATGAAGAACGCAACTCTTGCACCAACTGCGCGTCTGTAATTGTTGTCGGATTCGTTTGGCGAGAGCGGAGAGTTAAAATCGGCGTGACCCGGTCCGGCGTGTCCTCCTGCCTCTCTCGCGTCCTTCCTGAGATAGCACGCGCCAGTGGGGGGGGGGGGGGGGGGATGGTGGTGGTAGGGGGTGAAAGGCGCAGGAAAGAGGGGCGGCCGCGCCAGCACGCAACCGCGGGCGGACAAACAATGGCAGGAAGAGGACGCCGCTGGAATGCGGTCGCCATTCTGTCTCGCGAGCTCGGCCGCTTATCCTCTCCGTCGTCTTCCCTCTCCCTCCGTCCGTCTCTGCCTCTCCCTCTCCGGCAGAGAGCCCCCCCCCCTTCCGTCACCCCCACCCACTGCCCAGCCCCCCAAACCTTTCCCTCCCATGCTACTCTCCTTTCCTGCCTTCGACAGCTAACCCACACGAGGACACGCTAGCTCGGGCGTAATGATCGCAGAGACGCGTCGATTTTGAAATCGATTGTCACACTCACGGTGACATGCCACCAGAATCGGTAATCTTTTCCAAGTTTTAAACAATTCATGTGACCCCCGCACCTCCGATATCGCGGGCTGCTACGTACGGTGCAAAAGAAGTTCAATATTCAACTATCTCGCGGTAGCAAAATGTTAACTACCTCACTCGGTACACAGGAGGTCGTGAGGTCGATCCCGACCTTGACGCCTGCTGGAGATTTGAGGTATCCTTTCCATTTGTGATGCACTACAATGCACGGTGCACAGGTGGACGTTCTCACCTCTCCGCCGTTGATGTAGTCAAGGACAAAGTAGAGCTTGTCTGCCGTCTGGAAGGAGTAGTGCAGGCCCACGAGAAAGGGATGCTTCACATTCTTGAGGAGTACATTCCTCTCCGCCATGATGTGCTTTTGCTGGACAAGGCAAGCGAGAGAATGAAAGAGAGAGACGATGCTGTTATGGTAAAACGTGGGAATGCTAATGACCCAGCGGCATTATTATTATTCGGAAGCCACTGCAGCTATTAGGAATCCACTGGAGCTGTGCATTTTGAAATCAAAATTGAAAACTAATTTCCTTAGAACTGCTTTTTGTTTGTCGTCCTTCCTGCGCACCTCCAATTAGCACGGTTGGCTACGTACGGTGCGATACAAGTTCAACATTCATGTATACATCATCATCGACAACAACGACGACAACGCATCCGGTGGGATCGTCACGACGGTCGTTGCGGCCGCTCGTAATCCAAGCGTGAGGCGCTGCCGGGCGAGTCCATGAGTCGGGCCCATTTCTGATCTCTCCACCTTTCGCCAATGCACGACGCGCCGCGGGACACCTGCAGGGTTAACGATGCCCGCGGTGGCGCGCGGTGGGCCTGACCGAGAAGACGCCACTTGGGTTACGGGGTGGAGGGTGTTGGGGCAGAGGCCGTTGCCCTGCCGGCGCGTCCATCGCCCCAAAAAGGCACCGCTCCACACTTGGTGTTTGCAGAGACGCTGTGGTGGCGCTGGACAGGTGCCGGTTTTGCCAAGCGAGCCGCGCTGGCATGGGCTTTTTGCCAGAGGCCGATGGTGTCAATGTCGAGATGGGCTCGACGGCAAGTTTGCAAGAGTTCTCTTGTGGTAAACTGAGCGATTCTAATGATGACCGTTAATTGTCCGTGAGAGTCTCAAGTGTTTGGCTTGTGGGCGGAGACCGGTGAAGACTGAGACAACCGGCCCACATAGGAAGGAGTTGCACCACTGCAAGCTCTGCCATCTCCTGGCCTACTCGTAGCCCAAGCCTAGAACGCCTGCTATTTCGAAAGTATTCTCCCCAATTACAGCGACAACCAGGCTCGGTCCGGTGCTTGACAAAATTGGGTAGATTCACGGCGATGTTGTCATACGCTATAATGTCCGGTTGCTGCTTTGTCATTTTACATGATAGGCATTCTGCTACGGGGCTGCGCCATTTCAGTGGCGGGTGAGCTCAGGCTATTTACCTCTTTCTTTTTGAGAATGGCTTTCTTCTGGAGCACCTTGACAGCGTAAAACTTCTCATCAGTCTTGAGCTTGGCTAACAGCACCTGGTGGAGAACGCAGAGCGGAACATAAACCCCACTAGACACACAAACGCAGCCGCGCGCGCCCTCCGTGCGAAAACGATGTTGCTCAGAATATGCCAACGGTTTGCCGTGTGGAGCTGGCCGTGGAGTTCTCTTGCACGCGACGTTGTTGGACAACATCGCATGTTTGACAGTGCAACTTTGTTGCTTCTGTTTTGCAACTTAGTTGCATGGTAATTAGCCGTTAAGCTCAGTAAATAGACAATGGGAGGCCCAGTTCCTGTCCCCCGCTCCCATTCACCTCTTGCCTGAGCACAGGCAAGACAGGCAGTTGACTAGGCAAGAAAAGGTGCCTGTTGGGCCTATGAGCAAAAACATCCACGCAGGTATTTTAGACAAGAAAATAAGGCAAATATGTGAAGTTATAAGCAAAATAACTCCCGAGTGCACGTTAATCACATTCACAACGACAGATTAATGCCACTTATTTATCACGAGTCGGCCATGTGTCATTACCATGTGATCCCCACCCAGCCAATTCGCAAGAATAAAACACAGTCCCGAGAAGTGAGCAACTCGGCTCTGCGTTGAAGGCCACCGACTGTAACTTTATTTACTCATTGTTGCATAGCGCGCCGCGTTGAACGTCAATCGCGCGCACGTGGACAACACCACACTGCTGGACGTCTGTGAAAAAAGAGCCTTGTAGCTCATCGGATTCCTCCTGTACAAATCAACATTCCGATTCTGACCATTGTCGCTTGCGACGATTGCTGCAGCGAGACTGCACCGATCGGCTTAAATTTTCAGTTGGTCTGTGCAGGCATACTTACTTTCCCAAAGCTTCCCTTGCCAATAATTTTCAGGAAGTCGAAGTCTGTGGGTTTTGCCCTGCGGGGGGGAGGGGGGAGGAACGAAAGAGGGATGCATTTTTTTATTAAGTTGCCGTTGGAATTTACCGTAATTCTTAAACTCAACAAAGCAGCTGACGGGGCGTATTTTTTTGCAAGCCAAGCCATACATTTATTTATTAAATCCAGGAAAGTTCACTCTGAGTCTTAGGAATCCCGTTTCAGGAGGGTCCTGCATTTCTGTTTTTTTTTTAAAGATGCGGTTCAGCCATTTAATGAACGTTTATACACTTCGGGTGAGTGTAACCTTAAGTGAATAAATTTTACGTAATTTTTTTTTTTTATTGTTTAACGTGTATCAGCATATGATTGGCACAGCATACAATATTCTGTACCCTCTGTTATTAATCCGTGTACTCACGGTATGTACCGTAACAGCCGCATGCAAAGCATATTTTGTTTGATGTTACATAGCGAAGACATTTCTAGACGTTGCGCAATACAGCATTATGAAAATAAAGATTACACTGCAAATATGTACACCCAAAAACACACAAGAGTTTTTACAAATCCTACACCAAAGAGAGAAACGTTTTTTTTTAACGATGGGAGAGGGTTTTAAGTACAAACAATAAAGGAAGGGAAATTTAGACCATATGAGCAGAAAAGGAGAGACAGAGAGTGCCATCCCATCACACAGAGGGCTGCTTGCTGTAATAAATGTAGATATGAGATTGCAGACATGAGCCAGGGTGGAGGCCGTGCATATTGCTTATACAATAGCTGGCATGCACTTATATGACGATGCCGTGTGTGTGTGTGCGTGCAAGTGTGTGTTTCTTACTGTGGGTTGTGTGATGGACCGAGGTTGATAACTCTTGTTGAAATTTCCTGAAATAACAAAAAAAATCGCTGGGGTTGAATGGAGGTCACGAGACTGGAAATAGAATCAAATGAGACCACAGAAATGGAATGTCTGATTTTCTTTTTTTTAAACCAGGCTGTTTTAAAGATATGTGTAAGCTTCTCATTAAAATAAATAGTTTGCGCCAGTGGACAGTCTGAAGCTAATTAAATAGAACAGGTCGAAACGCCACGGACCCTCACAGGCCCATGCATTCCATTCCAATGTTGGTCACGGACTAATTTTTAAATGTGGCATTTAACACAGCGTGGCAATAATTATGTGTAACCATTGCTGGGAATCGAACTCCTAGTTTTTAAAGGTACAGTGCACGTGATTCACCGCACCACGCGGCAATGGAAGAGGCCTTCATCCGTGTCATCATAATCGTCATAATCATCATCGCCACGGTGTGCGTACATTGCAACGAAATAATATATCAGTCGACGTACATCAGGCTTATCGATGTAGTTTTCGATGCATTTCGTCCTTGGTTCGCCAGAATCCAGGAACACTTGCACGTCCGTGCTGATGACAACAACAACAAACAACAAACAACGAAACACGACCAACACATGCAAAGTTTAATAACATAATCGGAAGAAAAAACCCAACAGCGATTTTTAACAACAACAACAACAAACAAACAAAAAAGGGTCACCCGAAGTACCTTTCCCAGCTCGCAGCAAAACGTGGCAAAGCCTCTGCGCGCCTGCACTGGTGACTACGGTATCTGGCACTACCCCCCCCCTCCACACCACTCCCGCCACGTCGTCCCATTACCAAGCTGTCTTCGCACACGGACTGCAATTGCCGCTGCCTCTGCAGCCAAGAATGTCTGGCGGCTGGCGTGGGTGGCCGGCCACAGCCGCTGTGGGCACGAGTCCCTGGCATGGCCCCGTTCGCACGAGGGCACCCCGATATCTTATCCCCCTCCACCATCACCAGCGCCCCACCGGGCCTATTGCGACGACCCAAGAGAGCCTCTGTATTAGATCTGGAGGGGTTTCCCCCCCCCCCCCCCCTACCACCACCAAATCTAAAGGGCTGAGCAGAGTGGGGAGTGCGAATCAAAGTTCTCTCTCCCCCTCGCGGCGATTTAATGCGCGAACGGCAGCGGCTGAAGAGGTTTTTTTTTCCAACGAGGCGGCGGAAAAAAACTAAAACTAAAAAAAAAGTTACAAAAAAATCAGATGTGATGGGGGGGGGCTCTCTCGCTGCTTGGTACATAACTGCGGTTATTTGTGACTACCGCAAACTTTGACAACGGGGACGTTTACGTGATTCATAGTTACATTTGAGCGGCACGGCTCTGTACAATTGCCTCCTTATGCAAAAACTTGTTCCGCAATAGATCGGGAAGTGTATTTCATACACAGAGGATTCCACGCCGTGCAGTTTGGAGTACAGTGTACGCATGCTTGAATGATAGGTGGCTCTGCCGGTCATGCTGATGATAACTTGATGAGTGTGCAGTGGACAATGTGAATATACTAACAAATTAAATAAGTATTTTCATTACTCAAATCCCTATGATTGTTTTTTGCACAAACAGGGTCCTATTATGTGCAGGGAATGCTCTCACTAGCAATACGTGGGAAACTAGAAGTGTGTGTTTTTAGCAAGCCTGACTGCTGATGAGGCACAGAATGTCGAAACGGGCCCCAGAGTTTGCAATCCTCAACAAACAGTGCGACTTAACGTCAGTGGATGGCTAATAGGCAGACAGAGTGACCCTTTTCTTTGAAAAAAAAAAAAAGCTGTGGAGATACAGACCAGAAACTAGTTTCACAACACTACATTTACTTAACGAATTTTAATTTGCACTGGTTGCTAACCCTAAGCCATAGAATGTAGGCCAATAATCTGGAAGGGACTGTCTATGAGGAAACATTAATTTCATTTATCAGGCTCCACAGTGTAACGTGCAAGTCTCCCTCGCTGTGTGATATGGAGAAGGGCCACTGCCCAAAACGTCGCTTGTCATTACACACTTCCCCCCGTTGAAGCTACACACTTTTATCCACGAAATGTTGTTGGGTTGGCTTTTTGAGGCACAGCTTGTGTGTGTTTGTGTGGTGAGGGGTGGCGGGGGTAGCCGATAAGACTCGCGTCATTCCAGCATTTGCGTGCGGTGTGCGTGGAGACAGATAGAGAGGGACCAACTGGATATGGACGTTAACGGCGTTGCTTTATTTGAATGTTCCGTCGCCCTCCCGATGCCGTTCTGTGAACGCGACGGTCGGGGTGTGTGTGTGTTTTTTTTATTTTAACTTGCCTCGTTGGGCGTTGAGGAACTCTGCGGTTTGTTTTTTTTCACCGCGTGGGGAGAGGGCGGGAAAAGAAAACCCTCCCGTCGCGCTTTCGCGCTGTTCCCGCCAAAATGTATACGGTGCCCAAGTTTGAACTCGACAGCAACGAACCAAAACAGCGCAATGAGAAAAAATAGTCAAAACCAAAAAATGCCGCTACGGAAGTTGGCGCTTATAATTATTCATCCAAGCCGGCGCTCACGCCAAACTCTGGAAACTTCGCAAACTCTAAATGTTGAGGGGCCGCAGGCGATGTTTCACCGGCACCTTAGTCACGGCCGCGTTACACTTCACAAGTCGCCTTCTCCGTCGCAAAGCCGTGAGACCGATGCACCCATCGGTCAATTCGTGGTGAATATTAATATCGCAGTGTAGCAGTTAGTAGATGTACTGAATCACGTGCGAATGAATCTGCGTGGTTTTTTTGTTGTTCTTCCTATGGGTTGCTTGCGAGGCCCCGTTGTGCTACCATTCACAATGTAACAACAAAAAGAAAATGAATTGGGTACCGAATCAACTCGCGACATTTGAATCGTGGCATTGCATCGCACTTCTCGCGGGCTGTGGCTGGTGGAGCTGACGGAGGGCTGCGGGTAACTTCACCCCGAATTGGCACACAGCTCCAAAATGTTTACTGCTTAGCGCGCGTCAGAGTTTGGGCTCAACAAATTGTTCTTCGCACGTGAAACACCACGGGTGAAAACGTTTGCATTTTTAATCTGCACTTAATAAAACCAGCGCCACGGGTGGGACCGTGCCAGTGTGGCAAGCTTCTACGACAGTCAATCAATTCAAACTTTATCAAGGGGGGGTGGGCACAAACGCTGTATCACTTGCGCACACACGATCACCCGATCGCCAGGTCGTGCCAAATGTGGGTCTGTTATCTCAACTGCAATTGCTTTTCCTGCTCTCTCTCTCTCTCGAGATTGTGCATCAGCTTCCCGCGTAGCGCACGCAGCGACACCGAGGGTTTGTTTGCGAATCCAGTGGCTACGTACTCTTCGGGTTCTTTCGGTAAAGTTACGAAGGTAGGAGAATAAAATAAAAAAAATAATATATTGCGACGTTTCGATCGCAACACAAGCGGTCGTCCTCAGACGAAAAAAAACACAAAACGTCGTGATGTATTATTTCTTATTTTATTATATTTTGCTGCCTACGTGATTTTACCGAAGGAACCAAAGGATATAGGTTCCTGCAGGTCACGAAAGCTTCAAATCAAGATCCAATGGCTACGGTATCATCCTCGCTACGGTAGCGTAGCGGTAGCATAGCGAGGATGATACCGTAGCATTAGGTGCACCTGACGGTCCAGTTGGGGGCGCCACGGTGGTGAGATGTTAACTACCTCGCCTGGCATACAGGAGGTCGTGGGTTCGAACCCGACCCTGACGCCTGTTGTATATTTGGAGTTTGCGTGCTCTCCCCACTGTGATCGCGTGGATTTTTCTTCGGTTCCTCTGGTTTTTCCCATCCACATTTAGCATCAGCATGTGTTTCAGGTGTTTGGCTGCTATACATTTCCACATGATGAGTCAATTCGTTGAGCTATCATTTGTGGCCAGGTCGCTTCTGAAAAAGAGCTACATAGCTCAGTGGGCCTTACCTGGTGAAAATACAAAAATGTTTAGTTTTAGAGTTGTTATGTAACTCAGAATTATTGGTTAATGATGCCTGCCCGCCCCCTAACAGCTAAGTGGCATGAGCAACCAGAGTTTGACTTTGGGAATTCGGTTCATCTGCTGAGCTCCATCCATCTCTCTACCACATATCACGTGTCACTTGATGGTTTGAAATATAAAACCCGAGCTGCAAACAGCCACAAAACCGATTATAAGGTCTGCGTACAAATAATTACATTCGATGATTGTCCAATTTCCTACATTGGCAGGAGTGATACGTGCGCCGTACATGCTACACGCACGGCAAAAAATCGCTCATGAATCTCAATGTTTGTTGTGCACTTGAATAGTTGCTAACCATCTCCCAATGAACACTGCACACGTATTAGCGAGGAGTGCAGCTGTAATGGAAAAATAAACAACACTCGTGATCCAACTTCGACAAGTATTGCACTGCACTGCATTATTCAAATACTAACCTTTTCATTTAATCCTATCACTCAGCCTCACCCTAACGTTAGATCTCACCACAGTCAGCCTCAACTCTTAACATTTGCTCTGCCCCTAACACCGTAGCCTTTAGCGCAGCCTACGGCTAAATCGCCCGAAATGCCATGCCCAATCTCATAGGATCTCAGAACCTAAGCTGGCCTTGCGCGTCTTTAACATTTGGACCATTTGGCCACGTCCGCAGCGTTGCCACGTGCTGTAGGAGCTGCAGGGTGTGGCCGTGGTAAAAGGTCAAAGGGTGCGTGTGGAGGACCAGCGTCCGTGAGACTCACGGATCACACATTGGGCTGGAGGGCACCACCTTCTGTACGAGATCGTTTATTCCACTTCTGCGCTGCTTAACAAAGGCTGTGGGATGAAAGAGAACAGAGAGGGGGGGGGGAGGCGGTATGTTACTATTATTATTTTAAGGAGATATACAATGGTTTGATTTGGAAAGACCTAGGTAATTGGGAAATTACCTGATTAGATCACGGGACATTCACAGGCACCAAGTTAGTACATTTTAGGTGAAGCCAACCCTCATAACAGACGTACGCATTTAGGAAATGCATCGGTGCACTGCGGATGAGATGATGTACAAGACAGTGTATATGAACATGATATAATCAATGTATGACAGTCCATCACAGTCACAACCAGCGCATATTACATTTAGGTAAGTAAAGCAATACAATTCAAATGCAATTTGGATGTATAGAGCATGATAGATTAGTACCGCGCAGTGAAATGGTAAACGCGCAGCCATGCAATTGCTTATCCACACCACTGCTAGCGGAAGGGCCTCCACGATGACCTCTAGAGAGCCCCTCTGAAGGATAGTTGGCCTACTCTTCCACACGTGACCTACAGTTCGACTTACTTCGACAGTACACACAACCACTGATTCACGATGTGACACGTTTATGTCCTGTGTTGAACTACAAAGACAAAGGTCCCACATTTAGCGTTAATAGACTGTTTGGGCAAGTGCTGTTAATGAGCACCTACGAAGGACGGCAGAGCCCACGAGGGGGTGGGTGGCCAGCACCACGCTCCGAGTGGCTATCTGTACTCATTTGAGGCTGAGTTGACCTCAGGAGGCACCAGGACCGAGTCAGATAACCAAACCTGTTAACCACTTATCAGTGCCCCTACCTTATTAGAGACCAATTCAGACCTTATTGGTCACCCCGTGCCCCTTATAATTCTCAACGTTCATCCTACGAAGTCCCACCACAAGGGAGTGACACAAACAAATAGACAACATTTTTTTTTGTTCGCCCGTATTGAAACGGCTGTGCGCCGTATGGACCTGAAAACTCAATTTCTCTGTAACAAGAATGCGGGAGGTAAACCGTACGGGGAGTTGACAGCTGTGGATGATCGTCACCGGCGGCGTTGGCCGGAATCGAACTCAGCTCGGCGGATTTCGGAGCAGCAGCAGCAGCAACAGCAGCGCTTAACCGCTACGCCGACGCTCCGTTTGTGACACTCACAGATGACGACTTGGGCACCTTAGCTCCCGACACAAGCTCGCGATGCCTCCTTCAGTAAAACGCTCCACGGTCGAAGCCCCTGTCTCTGCTCGGGTAACCCGGCGCCTGCCAGGCATAGTCTCATTTCTAGATTTGAATAGTCTCGCCCAACTCTGTTCTCTTCGCATTCCTCTCAGCCGAGGCTGTATGAAACGGGTTTTGGAGAGCTCGCAAACGAAAGTAAATAAATACACGTTCACCCACCAGCCTCCTCCTCCTCCACCTCCTCCTCCAGACACGGAGGGACAAGGCAGACAGCGCAGCGGATGAAGTGGACAGTCCTCGCGTTAGAGCCGTGGCGCGGTCTAACGGAGCGATCATTCCTTTATTTGATTCTCTCCCACACTCCACCCACCCCTTACAATCATTTTCCACGACTACCTCCCTCCATCTACTCCATATGACGCCACCACCATCACCACCACCAACCACCGTACGATCGCGCTGCCGAGTTGGCAATGCGACACTCACTCTATTGCACAATGTTGGAAACGTGCCGGTCGGCTGACCGGCTTCACCGTATTCCATGTAAGAGCTGTCACCCCAGCACCCGCAGTCTTGCTATGCTAAAGCCAAGTGTGTAACGCTTCTGTGGCGCGTGATACAGAATGTACAACGTGGCACATTCAAGGCATTCGTATATGATGCCACGGTGTGTGTTGGTAGCATACTAGTGGAGCACGTTAATGCATACGATACACACGTGTGCGCGCAGGACACTTAGAATATACACGCGCGTGTATATATTGTATGCGTGACACAATCTCTTGACGGGGCTGCTAATTGCTCATCACCGATTACAATTATGCGCAAATACCATTCGTGTTATTATGCTTAGGCATACTGACCATGTGTAACAATTCAGAGAGAGATCGCTATATATTGTTTACATTTATCTTACGCGCACGGGCTACGCGCATCAACGACGACAACCCCCAGGTTTCGATCGCAGGTGGCCACGGCTCTCATCGGTGGCGAGCGATGATAACCCCCGGTACATCGTGAACCCAGCGTGCTGAAGTATGCTCGGCATCTGGCAAAGCGCAGCGGTGAGCGCTGCGCTGCGCTACGCCCCCGAGTTCCATTCCCGCTCACGGGGAGCAACACACCCATAAGGTGCGGTGTTGTAAACATCGCCACTGTGGAAGACAAAGGCGGCCGGGCGTGGTGCTGGCTACCCACCCCCCTCCCCCCACTCACAGGCGCTTGCTTCTCGCGAACAGCACTTGCCCCGAAAGTCTCTTACAGGCTACACGGTCGGGAGGGGGTGCGATCTTTTATCTGTGTACGTCCGTGAAGAGAAAGAGAGATGAGAGAGAGATGAGAGAGAGATGAGAGAGAGATGAGAGATGGCCAACGCACTGACCTGTCATAACGGTAAAGAGTCCTCGCATCTTGGAGTAGCTCAACCCTTCTCCGCTCTCCTTTTCGATCGTCATCGTCTTTGTGGCGAGCAGCTTCGTGGAGTCTTTTCTACGCGGGTCCTTCTGCGTCGGGTTCTTGTTGATTGTGGCGTAGGTGTCGAGCCCGTCAAATCGCTGTCAACTCGGCTTAGGTAAACTCGCGAGGCGGTCGGCACGCGTTTGAGCTCTCAAATTTCGCAGGCAGCGCTGTTGAGTCGCCTGCAGTATCGTCTATTAATAATATCCGATGATGGGCACGAATTACATTAACGACGCAACTTTTGAGTCACGTGAATGGTGTTTCTTCTAGCGGAGGGGATGGATGTATTTATATCTGCGCTGCAGTAAAGTAAAAAAAACACTATGAAAAAGAATCAAGCCGCTTGCTATGCGAGACGGCAGCGAGGTTCCCCCGTTGTTGTCTTGCGCGTCTGGTGCAGCAGGAGCGAGGCAAGCAGCGCAGCCGTCGTGCCAAGAAGCGATCCGTCAATGAATGAGCCGAGGGGAGGCTGCGCGGCTTACACCATGAGCACGGAGAGAGAGAGAGAGATGGGGGGAGGAGGATGGGTGGTGGTGCTTTCCACCAGAGCTGACGTCAAGCGGTCGAGAGGGGGTGGGGCCGGTGGACTGTTCCGACACGCAACATCTACCGTTCTCTCGCTCGCACATTACCTCCCCCACTCCCCTCCCATTCTAACCTCTCTCTCTCTCCTCCGTTCCCTCCCGCATCAAAGGCATCCCTCCCCCCCTTCTCCTCCCCCCCTTCTCCTCCCTCCCATCCCACCCTCTCCTCCCTCCCTCTCCTCCCAATCCTCCCTCCCATCCCTCCCCCGTATAGCATTTAACAGAATATTGGGGCAAATGCTGTTCGCGAGCATCTATGAAGGCCTGAACGGTACACGAGCGGGGTTGCGTTGGCCAGCACCTCGCCCGGCCGCCTTTGTCTCCCCAGTAGTGACGATGTTTACACACCGCACCAGGCGCTCATTTAAAGGCTGAGTCGACCTAAGGGGAATGCCCAGGGCCCGGTTCACATAATCGCCCGCTGGTGTTGGTGGCCGAGAGCGGGAATCGAACTCGGTCCGCCGGGTTCAATTGGGGGTGGGGGTGGGCGGGCTTGCGCTAACCACTACAACTACCGCTCCTCCATCGCACGCAGCCCTTTTCCATCACCTCCCCTCCCTGGACCCAACCACCCCAACCCACTCGCTCCCGTTCGCAGCCTTCAGCGTGAGCAGAACACCACGTTGCGCAGTGAACGGCCCCTTTTTTTCCGCGTGCCACGTTGACCGCGATAAGCCTCCTGAATCACCGGCCCGTTGTTCCCGTTAAATAACCATCGTCGTTGCCGACAGGCCCCTTTTCTGTGATGCGCCCCCCCCCCCAACCAACCAACCCCCGATAAATCCGGCTTCTCGAGCGCTCGGGAAGCACAACGCCTGCTGCCCCAACCAGCGCTCGCAATGCAACGCAGTGCGGAGAGGCGCCGGGTTCCATTCCGTCTCTCCTTGCCGGCATCGGAAGTTGAAGCGATGGTTGCCAATCGCTCACGTGTCTCTCCGTCTCTTTCTCCCCCACCCCCCGCCACCCGCTTCCACTGTCCACGCATTTGGAACAAAACAAACTGAAAGGGGGGTGCGTGTGTGGTGGGGTAAAGCGTGGGTACTCACATTTCTTCCAAGACGTCTGGCCGGTATGGAAGAGTAGGCCGAATACCTTCGCGAGAGAGAGGGGGGGGGGATTTCCAGAGCTCCCTTCTAACGGAGGCTCTTCCGTGAACAAGTTATTGCAAGGACGCACCTTTCTTCTTTGGTCAAGTGTTGACACACACACGCAAACATACTTGAATCACATTCGTCATGAGCACTGCCTCACAACAGACAAATTAATATATAATGACGCATATTGCCTGACGTTTCGGGTAACGGCCTTTCATCAGAGCATCGAGCGAGAGCAGGGAGATTGCCTTGCTGTTGGAGACCGCGCGCTACACTGGGTTTTGTTACACGGTTCACCAATGAACACTTGTAGATAAGTGTCAATCTTTTCAGTGGACACGAGCGTACGCATAAACTCTACCAGTGTAAATAAGAACGATGATTGTAATTCCCAGCCATCTGTAAAATCCACTTCGAGATGAACAACGTCCCCCACGCCCCAAGTTCGGTAAGTGAGGGTAGTTTGACCATACTTCACCATTCTGGTCAGTGTGGATCGGCGAATGGAGAGCCTTTAGGACTGGTTCAGAATGTCAGCACGTGGTTTTGGGAATATAACTCACACTGCTAGCGCCCTCGTCCACAGTGCCACTGCCACAATGATAGTTCACAGAAGTTGTCTTCATTGCAAGGCCCACGTGCTACTGGCGGCCTCTGGTGGCCTTTAGTGCGGCCCCCTGATGGTGCGCCCCCCCCCCCCCCCCCCGACAAGACACAAGGAGCCCCCCATCATCATCGTAGGCTGTCAAACTCTCATGGTTTCACTTGGTGTGGCAGCCCTCACACTGATGATGTCTTATTGGCGAAAATCGCCCCCCCCCACCTCTCCCCATGAAAATGAGTGAAGAACGTTGCTTTACATTGAGTAAAATAATTATCAATTGTTCCTGAGTGAAATTATCATTTTTTTCCTGAGTGAAATTATCAACTGTTTCTGAGCTAAATAATATCAATTGTTCTTGAGTGAAATTATAATTTGTTCCTGAGTTAAATTGTATCAATTGTTCTTGAGTGAAATTATAATTTGTTCCTGAGTTAAATTTTATCAATTGTTCCTGAGTGAAATTATCATTTGTTCCTGAGTTAAATTATATCAATTGTTCCTGATAAACTCCATCATCAACGGAATGATCACCCTAATGCTGTAGGCCCTCGCGATACCACAGAAGCTGTTTCCCGTGTTCATCCATACCTATTGTTGCCATTTCAAAAGCTGTGACCGAGTCTGTCTCAACGACAGCAGTTACACAAATCCTTGGCATGCACATCACGTACAAGAGGCTTAATTAATTAAGAAAATATCAAGTCAAACCTATTTATACTATTTCCTGGCTAATTTTACCGAGAAAGTAAATCTATTATTCCGACTGCGGTAAACCAATGAAGTACATCATACTCAAAAAATAAATGGTGTTTCCCTACTCAATACAGTAGTCCATAGGTCTGTGTTCTTAGGTGAAGATGATCGTTTAGCCTTGTTGGTTAAACACAGCCTGTTAAATTGATAACATTTTATTTTTCTAGATTTAAAGCTTTCGTGACTGCAAGGATCCATACTCTTTGGTTCTATTCGGTAAAGTCACGTAGGTAAAAAATAAAACAACAAAAATCACCTGATGAAGGCCGCTTGTGTTGTGGCCGAAACGTCGTGATTTTTGTTGTTTTATTTTTTTACCTACGTGACTTTACCGAATAAAACCAAAGAGTAATTTATTTTTCGTGCTCCTAACTTTACTGGCAACTGCCAATCAATGGAAACCATCCTCAAATGTTTAACTTTTGAGCATACATTTTGTTATATGGCGTCAAACATGTATTTCTCATGTACGTGTTACGTGCGCGAGAGTTCAACCGGGTTAACAGTTGGCTAATGCAAATGGTCACGTAACTGACCCATTGACTCATCGTTAAATACACAAGTCCCTGGATTGCGTGAAGGAAAAACAATAGTTTGCCCAACAACTTTTCGTTGTTGATTCCATTTGTGAACTCATAACCAAGGCCTCCCCAACCCCCCCCCCCCCCCCCAAGGCGCCCACAACAATGGCAGTCGGTGTGTTCATCACTGTGTGTACATTGCCTGTGATGTCACCAAAGACGTGGTAAAGTCTATTTCAAAACCGTGACCTCTCTCTTCTCTATCTCGCTGACGGCTGCGTGTGCGCATATCCGTTTGACAGGTGTAGAATGTTACGAATGAAAAGGCTGAAGTGAACTTTAGACGTAGGCCTCAATGACCGCCCGCACCTCCCCCTCCCCCATCAATTGCTTGAGATTTGTAGGGGAAAAAAATGTCACAGCAGGCTATAAGTAGATTTTGTAGAGCATTAGTCTGTTGGCCTCATCTGAGTCAACTTAGCTTATTTTAAGCCGAGTCTACCAAAGAGAGGGTGGGCGTCCTGGTCAGACTCAAGGTCCCATATCAAGTTTCAAGTTGATTTTGTTTCACCAGGTGAGAAATCACGAGGTCAGGATGATTCTGGTTTGCAAGAGTGACTTGGGGGGCAGTAGAGGGGCATGATGAATGCTGCTGCTGTGTGTTACACTGCCAATTGAGTCATTAGCGGGCAATTTTATAATTTGGCAAATTTGGACCCTGACCACCTCCAGAACACAATGGCCTACTCTAGCGAATGACGTGGGCGAGTCTTTAACGTCCACTGTAAATCAGACGCCGGGCATTATTACGGCTATTACACTCGAGGTAATAACCATAATAATGGCTCTGCCTGGGTGGTTGGTTGGAGCTTTTGACTCAGAATTGAAAAAAAATATGTGTTGAAGACAAGCCCACATTCGCGGGTCGAGTCATGGACGCCGCTTGTGGGAAGTCGGCAGAGGTTTGCCCTATGGAAGAGACTGCTCACCGCCATGGAAAAGTGGACTCTCCACCACTGGCCGGTTCAGGGCCGCCAACGCAGATGCTTGCAGAAGGAAGGCACGTTCATTTTTTTTTACACTTAAACGATCACGGAATTGGCCAAACATCCCCAATGCAGGGCCCTCTTGAGGGCGAAAGAGTCTTGAGACTCAGTAAGGGTTATCTAGATAAAGGACATTATTATAGCGTGTATTATTATTTACTTTGTATGGAAGGGGATTTGACATGGGCGGTAGATGTTGGTTAAGATCACAGACTCTGTGAGTCTGCACGCTCATCTGCACACACATTCATTCTATGTACGCACGTAAGCACCCGCTCTCCCTCTACAGCTCCCTGCCTCCCTCCCTCCCTCCCACGCGATCATACCGGAACATTCCACAAATAAACCCCACTGCGTGTTTGACCAACATGTGTTGCGTTTTGAATAAACACTCGTCGCTAAACAATGATTTTCCCTTTTTGCAGGAGAGAAGATGCCGCAAATTAAAAAAAACGTACGAGTAAAATATAATCACCATGCCAGGCATGTATGCTTGGAAATTCACTGACAAATACCAACCCCCACTCACCGCACCCATCATTAACACCGCTTCGTAGCAGATAATTTATAATAGGCTGACATTTCGGGCAATGATCCTACTTCAGCACAAAATAAATAAGCAGAAGAGTCGCAATTCCATCACGTGTCTGCCACTCCACGCAAACGTGTTTTTTTTTTTTAACACATCACACAGCCACACACACCGCCTTCTGGGAGCGTGTGATTTCAGCAGCGTTGGTTTATTCAACACAAACAAAAAATCTGGGTCGGTTTCGGCATTTCGTGTCTCATCAGCAGAGCCATGCGTCATAGGCGAAGTTCGACTTCTATATTTTGGGGGGGGGGGGGCGGGGGCAGCGGTTCGCTTTGTCCCTCACATTAGGAATCGCGGGTGCATGTTATTAATAATTATTTACATCTTAATTGTAAACTGAAAATAAATTAATAAAGATGTTCGGTTTCGGGGGTGGGAGCATTGCCCCCCCCCGTGCCC